CATATATTTTTAAGCATGAGGCTTGGAGACTTGTGTTTTGGTGCAGCCACAATGATAAATTAACAAGTTGATAACGGGGATCCTTTCTACAGTATTTTTGAAACTGTTGTGGATGAATGTAAACATTTATTGCAGTTTTTCCCTTCAGATTAACATGCTTTCTTTTTTATTAGAAAAGCAAGTGGATCCCTCAAAATATGTTCCAAATCTCTTATTTTTGAACCTGATCAAATTGATCTGCCTATAATTAAGGTGAGCAGTCAATATTACTATTTGCTGTAATGCTTCTGTTGGCTGGGAGACCAGAAATTTTAATTCCACTTGTATAATAATATATTTTTTCTTATCTTGTGTCTCATCATTTCCTGTTCTTACAATTGTTAATCTTCAATAACTTTTGCAGCATGCTTGATGACAATGGTTGCCAATACTACTACATGTACAACATGTTTGATGATCTTTCACAACACACATACGCCTAATACATTGTAATTAGGGATGAAATCTTTATTATAATGGATAGAACATAAGCATGTGTAACTTTCAGTTGCAGCAAGTACACAAAATTGTAAGTGTTATATGGTTTGTTACAGATTTCACTGCGGGATTGCACAAAGATTGAAGTAGAAGATGAAGAGAATCTCTTCAGCAAGTATGTCATCCAGTACACTTGATTAATAATTTCTTTCTTGTAGTAGCTCGTGTGGTAATCTAAACCTGTCCTGGTCTAGTAAGTGCCTAAGGTAGCAGTACTGAGGTGCCAGCACTGCCATTGACATGTTGGTCTTCAGATTGTTCTTTGTGTCCTTGTGAATCCTAAGCCAGACCATTTACTGCTCACGTGACTCTGGTATCTTGATTCGGAGAGTCAAGGTACTGTGTTCCTGTGTATAGCCCAGGTGGCTCCAGGGGAACACAAATTAATTTTAAAGTACTGTAGATTTAAACCCTATCACAAAGGCCACATATATGATATAGGGGTCTGGCCTATTTTCAAAAGTAATCAGTAATTTCTAAAAATGCAGGATTCATTAAAAGAAAACCCTGTTATTTGGCCATGTGGTTCCTAGTTTAGACCCTTCCTGTTATAGGTTGACAGGAAGAAATTTGTTGTCATCACATAAGATACATTCCGCATGCATGGTTTCACCATAGTCCCTATTGAGAGGCCAGAAGATTGATGTGGAGCAGGCACTGGAGCGAGTGCATGGGCAGGAAGTAGATAAAGAGGGCTAGAGGAGATAAAGCAGCACTGAGATGCAAAAAGTTGCAAATTAAATGTGGCAGTTGTTTAAGATGCACAGTGATTTGAAAAACTAAATTTAGCAGGCTAATTGGTTTCTAGATCTGCTTGAAGACACAGATACATGTAGGCACTATATGTTGCCTGCACTTAAGCACTGTTGTTACCTCCGGCACCTTTTAGGCCAAATCATGTTAACTTTTAAGTGATTCCTATTTTTCTGTCTTTTTAGGAACGCAAACAAACTATTTTGTGTTCTGTTCAGTCAGGTAAGATTTCTGCAGTTAATTATTTTAAAAGCCACTGTCCTTTTTTTTTTTTTTTTTTTTTTTTTTTTTTTTTTTTACTTTGGAAACGTGTTAAGTTTTGTTGCTACATGAAGAGTATAAACCAGCCAGGGCACCTTATTTAAATCTCCTGATGCTTATGCATGTTTCATTCACTTCCTGTACCCCAAAGTTCAGGGCACTTTATAATGCAAACAGTGGCCTTGCCTCTCATAGTTGTGACCTGCCTTTTACAGTTTCCCATGCCTCTCTATTACAGCATGAGTCACAAAGTAGCCAAGGGGTGCCGGAAGAAGCAGGCCACCGAGTGACCATGAGTTTTTTCTGTTCACTGTTTTTTATAGAGCAATACATTTTAGGCGAAAGCCCAACTGAACCCCATGATTTTTTAACAGTGTAATAAAAGTAAAAGAACAGCACATGTCTTACTGTATATGACACACTGATTGCATGACAGTAATAAAATGGGAGACTTAATTGGGCTATAATTATTCTTGCATGCAGGCAGGTGTCTGCATAATGATCCTGAGGTTGGTTTATCTTCTATTTGATGCCCACATAAAAATGGTCAGTCCAGAATCCATTGTTTGACGTTGGTGGGCATAATTACCCATTTCAATCACTTTTTCCAGAGGTAAAGTCTTCTTTTCCACATTTCCCAGCTCTTCTATCACCACATTGTGGAGACTCAGAGTTCATTCCATATTCACCATAATGGTAAACGGGTGAGAAGGAATAGGAGACCCGTAGATTGAGGGCAAGAAACTGGTGTACAGGCTGCCAAGTCAATAGCAGATATATAGTTGGTGTACACAGGCTTTTTAAGTTTGTGTAAGGTTGCATAAGTCTAGATTTATTTGTTGTAGAATCTTGTACTATAAAAAGACAATGCATTTTGGGGTTTCATTACTGCCCTCTTCATCAGGGCTTTGTAAAGTAGAACGAAGCTTCTGAACATACGTAAATATTACTCCTGATGCTGGTTTAATTTAAAAATGAAAACGCTGCTTTCCTGGTCTGTTAGAACAGAAATGCCAGATTGAGTTGATGGGCTGCCTTAAACAGACTTTCAGACTGTACATTTCTCAGTTTTTATAACTGCATGTTAATTACCCGCCTCATGATCAGTCTTTTAATTTAAACATTTTAATTATTAAATGTCCTTGTTTGTAGAGAGGATGCATACTCCAGGCGTACTCACAATGCCTGTGATTACATGTGCAATCAAAAGAGCCCGTCTGAGTGGCTCTGTACCGGAGAACCAATGATCACAATTCTAAACAGTTGCTGATCAGCAGCCAACCTTCACCTTCCCCCAGCTGATGACAAACAGCTTGCACTACCATGTTTCTGTTGGGCAGCATTAGAAGGAGACAATAGAGAGAGGGAGAGCTGGAACACTGCACCAGTACACTAGAAACCAAGATCCGGACGTACTGTGACCACCAAGTACTACAAATTATAGTTAACGTTTCAGTCATGTTGTGAAGATCCATTCAGTTCATCTGCCTGTGTGACTTTTAACATGTCAAATTTGTTTAAAGTGGTACTAAATGCACAGAGGTTTTTTATTTTTATTTTTTTTTTTACCTTAATGCAAGAAAGTAAAAAAAAAAAAAAACACCCCAGTAACTTTCCACCACTTTCACTAGTAGCCGTAAAACCCCAGCAGCAGTTCTAACCATAAATTAAATTTTCCTTTTTAGATTTAGGTTTATATCTACTTTAATTTTACAAAGTTTGCATTTGATTGCAGTTTATTAATGCTTTGTTGTTTTTCTTTCTTTTTTAGGTGTACTTTATCAAGGAGCAAAACATAGTAGCGCCTTACAAGGTTCAACGCGTAAGTAGGACTTTACTGATTTACATGCTAACAATGAGAATGATCTCTAACTATCAAGTAAAGCAATACTGTAAAGCTCTGAAAAAATTCCAGCATTAGAGTTCTTATGCTTACCTCTCCAGTTGCTCATATCTCCTGCTTTCCAACCCAACATGCTTTGTTCGTTCTGGCAGTGTTTGACGGCTGAGGCCCCACGCTATGTGCCATGGTTCCTCCCTTCAACCCTTCCATCACTCCTGAGTTCTGTAGTGACCTGTGTTTCCTTCTGCCTCATGCTTGGTCCACCGCTATAATAGACAGCCTCTTTAGCCAGTTGTAAGGCGCAAGAGATGGGAGGGGATTGACCAGAGCCAGCGATCGTGTGCAAAGGTTTAATCGCATAGCACGCTGGCTTTTAGAGGTACCAAGGTGTCATACAGGGGATTAGAGGCAGAGTGCATTCATCTAATTATAGTGAAAAATTCTGTTTGTTTTTGGGTGCACCATTTATAATATTGAAATAATGTTCCGTACATGTTTAGACCTCTAGCACGTAACCCGTTATGTAAAGTTATGAATTATTACTTACCATTGCTGGTGCCCTCCTTTAAAGTATAACTGTCTGTATACCATGAAGGCAAGTATTCTATTAGTTGGACCAGAGTTTGTGTTTGCAGTTCATAGCAAGAAATGATCATTAAAAGTAATAACCGCAATGTATTTTATAATAGTTCAAACTGTTGTCAGGCTTGATAATGGGGCAAGAAAAGCATTACGACATTCATTTTATCAGAAATTATATTTTTTTCCCTTTGCTAGTCAAGACTCCATTTTTTATTATGACAAACACACACTTCTTTAGTTATTACATTTCTGGCATTGTGTTTGCATAGGAACGTTGGAAAAGCGATTGTATTTCCAAGCCAAGCTCTTTGAAAAGTTGAGGCTGTATGGTTTGACAGTGATGATCTGTAATTGATCTTAGCTACTGGAAAGAGTTGACTCTACTAATTAATATCTAGAGTTTGCTGCCAATGCATATTCTTTATCACCTCTGTATATCACTTTTGTCTGATGTAAGTATTAAGCATGCAGCATAATAATGTAAACAGTGGCGAGTGGCCAGACATCCCTGCTGCCTTCCTTATCTTACAAAAAAATACAGGTGTGTCTTAAAAAACCCAACCTGGCCGATTGCTCATTTCCTTGAGAACAGTCCTCAGAGGTTTTTTGATATCTCAGACAGATCAAGTAACATTGGTCACAGGAAACTAGCGTTTGTAAATTCTCATTAAAAAAAACCAAACATGTCAAACTTACCTGCTCTGTACACAGAACAGCCCCAATTGTCTTCTTCTTGGGTCCCCCGTGGTGGAGAGCCGTTTGCTCTCATGCGCATCTCTGGATCAAGATCGGGCTCAGATAGGTATTAGAGGGTGCTGGGGGTGCTGCATTCAGAAGGTTTTTCTTATCTTAGTGCAGAGCATGGATTAAAGTTAAAAAAAAAAAAAAAAACCTTTACATTTATATATGTGAATGTCACCATGTGCCTCATCTACTGTATTTAAAAATCTTTTTTTCGATGTATAAAGTGTCTGTGTTTGTATTTAGGTTTATGCATACTTAAACATATCCATATATTTTTTAGGGTGGAAATCAATTTTTCTTCCAGTTGGAAGATTCAAGGAAGGTTGATGATGTTGTACAAACTGTTCTCCAGGTAAAATACTGGATCTAGAGTATCTCTTAGCTTTTCATAGGTTTGCTGAATTTGGTTAACTTGAATGTCTCATGCGCACTGAGCATAAAAGACACCACTTTTGAGGATGTTTCACATCCCTCTATATTAGCCTATGGGTCCATGTACATATAGGCAGGCATTTAGAGGCAAAAAAAGCCCAGTGCCAGCTCATTTAGGACATGAGTGTTTTGCTACAAGAATCACTTCTGGATCATCCGTGAAAGATGACAGCCAGAACTGCACATTTAGCAGTCTACTAGCCAGAGAAGAATTTCTGGTAATGAAGTGGATGAAAAGGCAGCCAAATTTGAATGGGTAAACATTTATCATAACAATACCTATAAGGCCGACTAAAGCAAAACAATAATAATCGGGATAAAAACCCTTAAATGTGGATTATCTTCTAACTTCTGCCTTTAAACCTGCTCAGAGTAACGATCCAACAAGACATGTAGCCAGGAACTGGTATGTAATAGTAAAGGGAAAACAATGTTGTATCTTCTCCACAATATTGGTCTCTTTTGGAGTCCAGGCTTGAGGGGTCTTCAGGATCTGGGTACCATTGGAATGGACCATGGCCCTTGTCCTGTATCCCTGGCACATTCCAGCCTCTAGGTTGGGTGACACACTTCCCTGGGGGCATGCAGATCACTCACCCCATATTCTGCAATCTATTAGATGAGGTAGTTCTCAACTAGTGTGATGAAAGGGAGCTCCATCCTAGAAAAATGGTTCCCATTCTTCATCCTGACGCTTTTTCTATTTGGAATTGCCATACGCCTACCCTTCAGCTGTGAGTTGAGCCTTGTATATCCTCTTCACCTTGGCTTTCTCACTCCCTTTTTGGACCCTTTTTTGCAAGAAGTTGCTCGTCTTCATTTTCTTCATCAACTTTCTATGTCCCTGTGGGGCCTTCCTTAGATGCTCTTACCTTCACAGAGCTCCCTTTCTGCTCAAAGTGGCTAACCTTGCTCTGAAGGCACATCAAACCGTTATGATTCAACCTATGTGTTGAGTTAGGACTGTCATCTGTGGCTGTCTGCCACTTCTTTCCTTGGAAGCTGATCCTTCTTCTGTTCCTCACTGGTGGGATTACTTCCTCTTCTTTCACCTGGCTGGGTGGTTATTTTCCTTTTTTTTATTTTCTAGTACTTCCACTGTCAGGGAATAAGTCCCTTCTACACTATCTGAGCCCATTCGCCCGAAAGGTTCTAGTGCTTGTACAGCATCAAGCCATCTTTCCCTCTCACAAGTTTCAGGGCTGCCACTTGTTTTTCTGTTCACATTTTTAAGACAAGTTTTTTTTTTTTTTTTTTTTTTTTTTTTTTTTTTTGAGGAGTGCCTGTTTGAACCCCTATTGATTCATATCTCGGTTACAGGATGCTTCTGCTGTCAGCTGTCTGTTTTTGTCAATTGAGCCATCTGTTTTTTCTTGTGTGCTTGTTGCTCTTGTTTTGTAGCCCACCCTTGATGCAATTTGGTATGAAGCACATCCCTAATTTTAAATGCGAATACACAACAAGAGGAAAGGGTGATTTTTGATTTTTTTTTTTTTTTTTTTTTTTTTTTTTTTTTTTGTTGGTACTCTCAGAAATAAATTCACAATCGAAAGTAAAAAAAAAAAAAAAAAAAAAGTATTCCATTTTCTTTATAAAAAATTAAAATCAGATAAAATCAAGAAATCTTAAAATTCCCTGTATAATGCCTCAGTCTCATCCTATATGTTAAACTACTAGCAGACTAGACCCTCATACATATATTACTACGTTATGTCAATATCATGTAACTAACAGAGTACGATGGTGCTCAATGGTTGGAGGTTTCGCGTCTCAAAAACCCTGCCCTATTCCTCTTGTTTTTTTTGTGTTCACACCCTTGAATTATTGCTTGAGGACATCCCACTGCCTAAAAATCAATTTTTGTCATGTACAGTCCAATAAAAATAATGGGAATTTCAATGCACCTGTACATCTTGGAGTACAGTACAGCCCTCACGGGAAGGGTGGCATTATATGCGTATACAGAAGAGGGGCGGTTCCCAACAAAACTTTTGCCAGTATCCAGTCACCTAAAGGCAAAAGCCATATAACCCATTGACTATGAATCAATTCCTGTGTCCTGTACTGTACTCTAAGATGGGGAATATTATCATGGCTCACTATATATGGTTTTCTTTTGACAATTTTTACCTGGAAATCCTCTTAGTAACAGCAATTCTTGTTCCAGGGAGACAGTGCTTAGCCACTGCCTTGCAGTTGGCAACAATGCTTTCTGCCTACTGTGTGCTCCTACCAGGTCTTTCAAATAGGCAGCCAAGGGGAGTACTGAAGGAAAAGCATATGGCAGGCAGTGTTCTAGCATTAGGAAAACATTTTGTATATTTCCATTGTCTCTTTTTGGGCGGGTTGACAATTAAACAGTTAAACAATTGATATTTCTTCATTCTTACAGCTACAAAGAGCTTCTCGCCTGGAGAAACTCGGTGACCAGACAGCCATGGTAAGACCCAAAAGCGTTTTACAGGAAGCACTGGTTGGGGTTTTGATTTTTCTGGTACATAATAGAAAAGCTTTCTTTTTATTTACTAGATAACTGCTATTTTACAATCACGTTTAGCAAGATCATCATTTGATAAAAACAGGTTAGTAAAAATATTAAGGTATTAAGAAATCTTTTGTAAAGAGCTTTGTAATTGTGATATTCAGATATCCTCAAATTCCTGTACAGCTTTCAAAGTGTATCTGAAACCTCCCACATGGAATGCTTAGCAGAAATGGTAACACCGTTGGTCACCAATCCGGGACATGTGTGTATAACAGATCAATACCTCTACTTTCAGCCATTAAATGGCTATCCAGTAAGTCAATATTTTCATTAATCTTTTTCACTGTAGATTTTTATATGTATATTGTCAGCATCAAATCGCTTCTAAAAATTAGTGGTAATAAATGCAGATAATCTCAGGTGATTTCTAGGTCTGCCATTTGTTCAACCACAAACATATATCAATTAGCACTTCTATAACATAATAAAATCCATCTTTAATAGACAATCTTCTTATGAACATTTCACAGCCATACGAATACATCGCCTTAGAAGTGGTCCGCCATTTATGTACCGTGCACAAAGCACAGAAAGTTACTTCCCATGTATCCAATATGTGATGAATAACGCCGCTCCAGAACAGTCATGCAGACTCTGTACTTTGATGCCAGGATGCCTATGACATCTAATTCAGCTAAGATGCTTCTGCCGACATCAATCCTTTGTGCATAATCCCTCCTTCCAGATGACATTTTTCAATACAGCTGGCTTTGTCAAGTCATTTATTTATAGGAAATAAAAACGTAATTCAGTAAGCTGTGTAAAAATTGCAGTAATAATACAATAGCCAGTATTCTTTGCATTTCCTGATGCAGAAGGCAAGGGTATGTCAGGTCAAGATAAAAAATATGCAGTATATTTCTGTGACACATCATTTTTTTTGTAAAGACCCTGTCCGTAGAGAAAAATGCTTGTTGATCTGTCAAAAATGTTGACAGCTCATAATTTCCTTTTTGTGGACTGACTACACAGTCTTATTCTGGTGCAGCCGTGCCGAGTAACCAATCAGCTTCTAGGTTTTATTGCCAAAGCTTAATTGAACAAGCTGAAGTTAGAAGCTGATTGGTTACTATGCACAGCTGCTCCAGATTCTCAGTGCACCAGTTTTAGTAAATCTCCCCCAGTGAGTGCTCGTGAGATAACCAATAGAGCTATTGTAATGTTTAATATTGTTCTAGAATGGACAGGTTTACTTTAAGGAAAGGATTTTATTAGCAAAAAACATTTTAAAATGCAAATTTTATCTGTAAATAAGCACCCAAAATGCAGTTACATTTTGAAATAAAATGTTTGCTTGTCTTTTTTTTTTCTAGAAACCTGTTGTGTGCATTAGCTTGGCTGATATAAGGAGAATATACAAAAGGAGACACATGCTAATGCCCATGGTAAGTGTGTTGGTGATATCCAGATAAACGGAATCTTTTTTTCTTTGGTTTTAATGACCTTTGACATAATGCTATACCTCTATAGCTATAATTATGTGTAGCTCTGTATCTACTGCTTGGTTTTAAACCTAGTAAAAGGGTACCATAGTCATTCCATTATTGTAGAAGTGTACAGTATTGGGATGTCCACACAGAGCGTTTTTCACAAGAAATCAATGGTTTTAAGAAAGTCTCATTCTGTATGCGGCATAAACAAATGGGTTATGGGAATAGAAGAGATCATGTGACTTGTACTGAATGAGAATATGCCAAGATCTGTAGAGTCATAGGCCAGAGCCAGATATGGCAGAATTTAAAAGGGGTTTAGGACAGCAGGCTTTTGTTTGCTTCGTTATGTTATTGTTGTCCTTTCGTATGGAAACCGTAGGAAACATTTCATCATAAAGTGGAACACTCTTCTGTATAGAATATGTAGAGTGTAGGACTGCACAGCCACAATGTCATAGAACTGAGTGGATGTTCTTTGCTGTGATCACAAAAGTGTGCTAGTTTGAAACAAAGTGTTGATCACAGTCTACGGCAGTTGTTTGTAGATATGTTGTATGCATTAAAAAACAAAACAAAAACCTGTAAACCGTGCCTGATATATGGTTTTCAGCACCGAGAACTTGGCACAGATTGTCAGTGCATAGTGTTTTGTGTTGAAAACACATTTTTAAAAAAGGGTTTATTCAGTTGCCCTGACCCTTAATCCAGTTTTTAGCTAACCCTAACAGCTGAACCTGAAAAAATATATAAAATAGTAGATCATTGAAGGATAAAATAATTTAGTTGCTTTTGCTGCCATACTTGGCTTCACTAAATATAATATGTAGGACTGTGCTCTAGGACTCCTGCACCACTCAGCAAGAAAAACACAAAACTAACAAGTAGCTGCTGTTCTTAGTGGAATCCCATTAATTGACAAATCCCATTAATTGAACAAATCTATATGAACAGCGCTGCTCACTAATATCTACAATACCTTATCCAAAGAATTAAATATCTGTGAAAATATCCCCTTATTATAATAATATTATTATTATTATAATACAGTATTTATATAGCGCTAAAAGGTTTGATCAGCGCTGATCTAAAAATTTGTGTAAGAAATTCCTTTTGAGTTTCTTTCCTATGAGTGAGAGTGGTATATCAATTTAAGAAGTCCTTGTAGATAGGATTGCGGGCTGCCGACTGTCACTTTCCGAGCAAAAAGCGCTTATTCTGGTCTATAATTTCACCAGCATAGCGCTCTGGTGCGTTTATCCAATTCATCTGGTGGTGGATAGAGCACATTTTGTGGCGTCATTGGCATGGGGAAATTTGCACAACTAGCAGCACATTTTATTATTGAGTAACTTCACTTATTGGATGGAGACCAGGAGTTATGTTGGATTTTTTGTGATGTGACTACGTTTTATAGTGATTTAATGGACACATCTGTTGCACTTTAGTCATTTATTTATTTGATTGCACTAATAATAATGTATAATATTGTTTTATATACTTCTGTGTTGAGAGGACAATACATGTTAGTTACATATTATATTGCGTTCACACTATATGCTAATTAGAGGTGTAGGAAGGTTTGTTATATAAAAATTGTGCAAGAAATAGTGCAAGAAATAGTGCAAAACACTGATGCACATATAAGGGGATATTTTTATAGATATTTCATTCTTTGGATTAGGTATTGTAGTTATTAGTGAGTAGCACTGTTATTAAAAAAAAAAAATATATATATATATATATATATATATATATATATAATATATATATATATATATATATATATATATATATATATATTTATTATTATTATTCTTCAGTATTTATAAAGCGCCAATAGTTCGCTCAGCGCTGTACATTACAAAGGGGGACAGAACATGTGACAGAACAATACCAATACAATGCAAAACATGAGGGGATCGAGGGCCCTGCTCTTTCAAGCTTACAATCTAGGAGATATATATATATATATATATATATATATCTATCACAAATACTTGGCTTCAATCTGGAGTTGCTTTTCAGTCACAAAATTTCCTTAGTCTTCATGGTTGGATGACAGCCAACATCATTCAACCCCTTTCCCCTGAGCCCAGGCTGTCAAGCATCCACCCTCAGGCTGTGTCTAGACAGCAAAGTGATCAACCTAACTCTCTATGCTTTCTCCTTCTATCAGCATGCTACTTGACAATGCGTGAACTATTTAATTCCTTGTGCTGCCTTGTCACTCAGTTCTACGGTACAAGGACTGGCAGAGGCTGTTGCGAAATAGAATTCAGGTATTAGCACTGCTTGGATTTAAAAAAACGTTTTTAATGTTATATTAAAGTGATTCTAAAGCTAAAATGTTTTTACTTTCTTGCTTTTCCTGTATCAAGGCAAAAGATGTTTTGCCACTTGCTGTGCCCCATCCCCCCAAACACTTTCGTGAGCCCTGTATCAATCCAGCTCTGTGCCCATTTGCTGGTCTTCTCCCCTATTTTTTTTTGTGAGCAGAGAGCTTGGGAAGGGATGAGCAGAGCTGTGTGTGTCTATGGACACACACACAGCCTGGCTCAGCAGTGTTCCTGCACATCTGCCCCCATAGCAAACTGCTTGCTCTGAGGGAAGACACAAAAAAAGAGAAACAGAACTCCATTGTGTGCAATGCCATTGCACACAACAGGTTAGTGTAGCTTGTTTATTATTTTAATGAATACAGAGTTGTAATCGTTTGTATCTCTAAGATGTACTTGGCATTCCTAATTTTTAAGCAAACACCTCAAAATCTTAACCAGTAAAGTGACACTGAACTCTGTTTAAAAAAAAAAAAAAAATGATATTCATGTATTCCTAACTCCTTTTTATTCTTTGCCGCCTCCTAAACTCCAAATTTCTTTTTTTTTTTTTTTTTTTTGCTACAGTGATCTGGCTTCCTGTTTGGAGGGTGGCTACTATAATTCTCATTGGTTCCAGTGTATGTAGGAACATAACAACCCTATTTTACTTGCTCTCAAGATGAACTCTGGGATTTGTAGTGTGCATAGAGCAGTGCACATAACCACAACTAATGTGCACTCCTCGTTTCAGACAAAAGGAAGTGAGAGGGAAAAGGAGAGGTTCAGGAGCTCACAGAGGATGATACAAGTAGGCCAAAAAACACAGCAAGAAACAATTTGAATGAAAAATAGTGCCATTAAATTGTGGATGTGTGAGAATTATTTTGGGAGAATAAGGTTTCGTTGTGTCAATCTTCACTTGTAGCCCTGCCCAAAAACCGTTCTTCCTCCTAAAATTGAGGCTCCAGTCACACTTGAGTGATTTGAAGTTCAAAGTTCCAAAAATTTTACAGTACCTGTTCCTGCGATCAGTTGTGAGCAGGCACCATAGAGAACAATTGATTTTTTTTTAAGTTTGAGCGTTTTTGGACCTTCAGTCTGCTCAAGTGTGAATGCAGCCTTAACTTCAGCCCTAATCCAATACTCGACTCCTTTATCAGTTCCCCTTGTCCAATCAGTTTGGCGCACAGGAAGCCACTGATTCAGTGGATAAATAGCAAAACATCTTCAGCGAGCCAAGTGATGGAAAACAGAGCCGTGTTTGGTAGCCATAACTTCTGCTAGGTATACTACACCTGGATAAATAAGAACCTTTACAGATGTACCTGATAAGCAATTTCCTGTCACTTGTAAAGAAGACTGAATTTTATTTTGAATTGTCATTGCTGCAGCTAACTACATTATTTATTTTATTTTTTTACATAGGGACTAGAAGTATTTTGCACTGAAAACGACTTGTGTTCCGACATATACCTCAAATTTTACAATCCAAAAGATCGCGATGGACTATACTACTATATTGCAGCTTATATAGGTTGGAATATTTTTATAATAGTTTATCACTATATTGGCAATCATTGTATGAATCATTGAAATCAATGCTTTCCTTTCTTATAATGTGTAAGTTTTCTGTATTGTACTATCATGGGCCCATTGTATTTGCAGACTAGAGGAAGCCAGTTATTAGACCAAATGAGAGTTAAAAAGACCATAAACAGTATTAGTGCTCATGTCCTCAGGGGTTGTGATTTGCCTGCATTTGATGTGCGTTTGGAACATCAAACACAGGTCAGCAAAATCCCACTGATTGAGTGGTACACTGTGTTTTTTTTGTATTTTTGGGATGCAGCATGTCCTATTACGATGATTTTGCACTGACTTACACTGGCTGCTCTCTTAGTTGATCAGCCTATAAAAAAGAATGGCAAACTTTTTTTTTTTTTTTTTTTTTTTCGGATTATCCGCGTTTTAGGCTGGTAACATGTTTTTTTTTTTTTCCCATTTTTGTACATTTGTTAGCTTATAATAAAAAGAATGAACATGGTATTTATTAAAACCATATACCAATTAAAGGTCCTATAAATCATTAAAGTAAAAATGATTTAGGTGGGCAAATTAGTCATAGGGTTAGCGAACACATTGGGGGTTATTTACTAAATCTGGAGTGCAAAATCTGGTTCAACTCTGCATAGAAATCAATCAGCTTCATAGAATGCATGAAGATAACAAACCTTGAGCCTTTAGAACCACTTTAATTAAACAAGCTGAATGTAAAACTGATTGGCTACCATGCACAGCTGCACCAGATTCTGAGTGCTCCAATCTTCCCCATTGTAACTGTCTGTCTAAATTTGACATTGGTATCCAGGCATCAATGACCTTGTCACAATGGGGGTTAAAGGGATTTTTTTTTATTCCAGCTTGATCATTTATCATATGCAACAAAATTTGGCAGAACATAAAATCACTAACATCACTGCAAAATCAATTTCTCCAAAACGACTCCGTTTATCCCTAGTGGTAATTAGTAATCACAAGTCTCGCCTCCTCAGGCTGATCAGATAGATGGACAGTGTATATGGCTGTGAAGCTGAACAAAGCTTTATTTGATGTATCGTTTACGTTAACCATTATATGACATCATCCCAGGATCGCATGTATGTAAAAGGGGAAAAAAAAAATTTAAAAAATTGAATATATTTTTTTTCCCTGTTTTTTTTACATTTAGTCACCATTCAGTGTTCCTGATTATTCCCATACCAGTTATATGATGATGCTACATTCCAAAGGCAACAGTTGAAGAAAAAAATTGTGAAAAAAAAATTTTTTCTTAACTTCTTAATTTTCTTAAAAATTACAACTTTAAAAACCTCACCATGCCTCTAACTAAATACCTTGATCTACTTGGACAACATAGAGGAAAACAAAGATCACCAGGGAGAAGGGGGGAGGGGTACTAAAAAAAACAACAAATTATCACGCTCTCAATAAAAAGACTGCATGAGTAACACATATTGTAGTGTCCTCTGCCTCCCTCCCTCCGCAGTAGTGTCCTGTGCCACCCCCCAAAATGGTGTCCTCTGCCCCTTCACATCCACCCTCACTTTATTGTCCTCTGCCTCCAACAAAGTACTTTTTTACCTGTCAGCCTGTGTACAGCAGAGCGGCGATCAGGAGACAGCATAGTGCTGGGTGGAAGGTGGGAGCTGCCGGAGTTCATAATAACAAGTTTGTGATTGGTTGCTAGTACTCCCTAGCAACCAATCACAGAGGCAGCTACTGCCTTCCACTCTCCGCTCTGCAAAAACATGAGAGCGCCAGAGGCTGGGGGAAAGGCGGAACCATTGTCACGATCCACCTGTTGGCTTCCTGCGGTGGACCGGTCGATCGCAATTGACGGCTTGCCAACCCCTGCCTTGGACTGTCTACTTTACTTTCCTAAAAGGGTAATTTGGTGAGTATTTGCCCTGTCCTGGCATTTTGGGACCTCAAGAAATGAGATGGCTGTTAGTACATCAGGATCGATCAATTTTCAAATAGTGTGTGTGTGTGTGTGTGTATATACAGTATTTCACAGAAGTGAGTACACCCCCCACATTTTTGTAAATATTTTATTATATCTTCATGTAACAACACTGAAGAAATTACACTTAGTTAGTAGTGAGTGTACAGCTTGTATAACAGTGTAAATTTGCTGTCCCCTCAAAATAACTCAACACACAGCCATTAACCACTTGCCTACCAGGCACTTATACCCCCTTATTTACCAGGCCAATTTTCAGCTTTCAGCGCTGCCGCACTTTGACAATTGCGCGGTCATGCAACATTGTACCCATATGAAATTTTGATCATTTTTTTTCTCACAAATAGAGCTTTCTTTTGGTGGTATTTAATCGCCACTGGGCGCTTTACTTTTTGCGCTATAAATAAAAAAAAGTGCAAAAAATTTTGAAAAAAAAAAAAGTTTCTTTGTTTCTATTATAACCTTTTTCAAACAGGTATTTTTTCTCCTTCACTGATGTGCGGCACTGATGGGCACTGATAGGGCGGCACTGATGGGCAGCACTAAAGGGCACTGATGGGCACTGCAGCACTAAAGGGCACTGATGGGCACTGGGCATGGGGCAGCACTAAAGGGCACTGATGGGCAGCACTAAAGGGCACTGATGGGCAGCACTAAAGGGCACTGATGGGCAGCACTAAAGGGCACTGATGGGCAGCACTAAAGGGCACTGATGGGCAGCACTAAAGGGCACTGATGGGCAGCACTAAAGGGCACTGATGGGCAGCACTAAAGGGCACTGATGGGCAGCACTAAAGGGCACTGATGGGCAGCACTAAAGGGCACTGATGGGCAGCACTAAAGGGCACTGATGGGCAGCACTAATATGCAGCACTGATGGGCAGCACTAATATGCAGCACTGATGGGCAGCACTAATATGCAGCACTGATGGGCAGCACTAATATGCAGCACTGATGGGCAGCACTAATATGCAGCACTGATGGGCAGCACTAATATGCAGCACTGATGGGCAGCACTAATATGCAGCACTGATGGGCAGCACTAATATGCAGCACTGATGGGCAGCACTAATATGCAGCACTGATGGGCAGCACTAATATGCAGCACTGATGGGCAGCACTAATATGCAGCACTGATGGGCAGCACTAATATGCAGCACTGATGGGCAGCACTAATATGCAGCACTGATGGGCAGCAGCACTGATGGGCAGCACTAATGCAGCACTGATGGGCAGCACTAATATGCAGCACTGATGGGCAGCACTAATATGCAGCACTGATGGGTGACACTGAACTGAAAGACGGCACTGACTGGCGGCACTAACTGGCACAACCCCTGGGCACTGACTGGTGGCACTGACTGGCTCGACTGGTGGGCAGCACTGGTGGGTGGGCACAGGTGGGTGGCACTGGTGGGCACAGGTGGGTGGGCACAGGTGGGTGGCACTTCTGGGCTCAGGTGGGTGGCACTTCTGGGCACAGGTGTGTGACACTGCAGAGTGGCACAGGTGGGTGATCTGCTGGGCACAGGTGGGCGGAGCTAGTGGGCGCACTGCTGGGCGGAACTGCTGGGCACCCTGATGATCGGTGCCGATCCCCGCTCTGACAACTGCCGGTTCTCGGCAGTACTTTCCTCACAATCTGACAGCGTGAGGAAAGTGCAGCCGAGAACCGGCACTTGCGTTTCCCTCTGATCAGCGTGTCATTGGACACCGCTGATCACGTGGTAAAAGGCCGCTGTGATTGGCCTTTTTACCACATCACGTGATCAGCACATCACGTGATCAGCTGTGTCCGTAGGACACAGCGATCACGGAGATCGCCGGGTGCGCGCCCCCTGGGGCGCGCAGGAGAGCGCGTTCTGGGAGGACGTCATATGACGTCCACTCAGAACTGGCCGGCCGCAGTGCAGCCGTCATTCGGCTATCTGCGGTCGGCAGCTAGTTAATATCTAAACTGCTGGCAACAAAAGTGAGTACACCCCTAAGTGAAAATGTCCAAATTGGGCACAAAGTGTCAATATTTTGTGTGGCCACCATTATTTTCCAGCACTGCCTTTACCTTCTTGGACATGGAGTTCACCAGAGCTTCACAGGTTGTCACTGGAGTCCTCTTCCACTCCTCCATGATGACATCACGGAGCTGGTGGATGTTAGAGACCTTGTGCTCCTCCACCTTCAGTATGAGGATGCCCCACAGATGCTCAGTAGGGTTTAGGTCTGGAGACATGCTTGGTCAGTCCATCACCTTTACCCTCAGCAGGTGTTTCTGGGGTTATGTTGGAATATCCCTGCAGCCCAGTCTCCGAAGGGAGGGGATCATGCTCTGTTTCAGTATGTTACAGTACATGTTGGCATTCATGGTTCCCTCAATGGAACTGTAGCTCCCCAGTGCCAGCAGCACTCATGCAGCCTTAGACTATGACACTCCCACCACCATGCTTGACTGTAGGCAAGACACACTTGTCTTTGTACTCCTCACCTGGTTGCCGCCACACACTTGACACCATCTGAATCAAACAAGTTTACCTTGGTCTTATCAGACCACAGGCCATGGTTCCAGTAATCCAGCAGCTCGGTTTCAGGGTCGTTGCAATCTTCTTATAGCCTAGGCCATCTTTATGTAGAGCAACAATTCGTTTTTTGAGATCCTCAGAGAGTTACTTGCCATGAGGTGCCATGTTGAACTTCCAGTGACCAGTATGAGAGAGTGAGAGCGATAACACTAAATTTAACACACCTGCTCCTCATTCATACCTGAGACCTTGTAACACTGAGTCACATGACGCCGGGGAGGGAAAATGGCTAATTGGGCCCAATTTGGACATTTCACTTAGGGGTGTACTCACTTTTGTTGCCAGCAGTTTAGATATTAATGGCTGTGTGTTGAGTTATTTTGAGGGAAAAGCAAATTTACACTGTTATACAAGCTGTACACTCACTACCTTACATTGTAGCAAAGTGTCATTTCTTCAGTGTTGTCACATGAAAAGATATAATAAAATATTTACAAAAATGTGAGGGGTGGACTCGCTTCTGTGAGATACTGTGTGTGTGTGTGTGTGTGTGTGTGTGTGTGTGTGTGTGTGTGTGTGTGTGTGTGTGTGTTATACACACAACCCTCTAAATCATTGGATTCAGGTGTTCCAACCACCTCCATGGCCACAGTTGTATAAAATCAAGAACCTAGGCATGCAGACTGCTTCTACAAACATTTGTGTAAGAATGGGTCACTCTCGGGAGCTCAGTGAACTCTAGCGTTTTGCCATGATAGGTTGCCACCTGTGTAAAAAGTCTATCCGTGACATTTCTTTTCTACTAAATATTCTGCGGACAACTGTTAGTGGTATTATAACAAAGTGGAAGTAACTGGGAACAGCAACTCAGCCACAAAGTTGAAGGCCACGTAAAATTACAGACCAGGGTGAGAGCATGCTACAGTGCACAGAAGTCGCCAGCTATCTGCAGAATCAATAGCTAAAGACTTCCAAACTTCGAGTGACCTTCAGATTAGCACAACAGTGTGTAGAGAGCTTCATGGAATAGGTTTCCATGGCTGAGCAGCTGCATCCAAGCCTTACATCACCAAGTGCACTGTAAAGCGTCGGATGCAGTGGTGTAAACAGCTCCAATGATCAGACTTCTACTGACACCCCCCCCCCCCCCCCCCCCCCCCCCCCCCCCCACAGCATTGCACTGGGTAGATCAGTGTACTACTGTTTTTTTTCCGCCCTGAGCTCCTTATGCTGCTGAGAACAGAGAGTATGTGATCACTTTTAAAAAAGGTATTTATAATGTTTTTGTATATGTACGGAATAGATTTACAAGGTGTGAGGGTTTATATATATACTTTTAATGGTAGCTGTTGGGGGAACTGCAGATATTACTATGGTGAGGGGAGTTGCAAAGCCTCATTGTAGCAGGTTCCTAGTTTTATGGAACTGACTTTAGTCTGGCTGCCTCAACTGAATGTACAAATTAAACTGGATATAATATGTTCTTCTCCCATTTTAAAGGTTTCAGTTTAGGATTATCCCATGTTTAACAAAAGCACCGGAAACATATGTATGAGTGACCTTTTGTTGTTTTCATTGCCGTGCATTAAGAAAATGGTGACATTCAAGATAATGGTCGTGTCTCATGTTTCCTGCAGAAAATCACGTGGCTGAGCATACTGCAGACAGCTACATGCTCCAGTGGCAGATGGGACATATCTCCAATTACCAGTATCTGTTACATCTCAATAACCTGGCAGACCGGAGCTGCAATGATCTGTCCCAGTATCCTGTGTTTCCTTGGATCATTGCAGACTATACAAATTCTGTGCTAGGTATGAGCCAGTGGGTTTTTTTTTTTTTTTTTTGCTGGAACTTTTGTCATAGTTGTTCATCAGCATGTAACATTTGACCTTGTGCAGTGTGTTTTTGCATACCATTCACGTGGTAAATGTCAATGAAAGTATCACAAGCTGTTTTTGTTTTGTTTTTTTCCTGAAGATTTATCCATTGCAAAAACCTTCCGGGATCTGAGTAAACCAGTTGGAGCTTTAAATAAAGACAGACTTGAAAGGCTGTTGGTATGTAATTAGAAAAAAAAGTGTACTTTGCTTGCTAAAATGCCCTTTTTACCATACAAACATGTTCTGAAGAACTACGCCAGAAAAAGCACATGGAGATGTTTGAAATTGTGTTTCTGGGTGTGGCCACTTCTCTTCTTCAGCATGTCAAAGCTGTTTTTATAAAGGGAAAATGGTCCATCTCCCATTTTTGCATTGCAAACTTTCCCAGTGTTTTTGTGCGTAAACTGAGCTGTCAGTCAGCAGGATGTGGAGCAGAAGGGAAGGCTATTAAAAAGTACAGCAAAAACTCTTTTGGCTGTGCTTCTCCTGTGGATCACAAGAGTGCAGTCCATTTTCAGCAGACAGCGGGCTGAAGCTTGTTGTTGGCTGACATCACTCAGCTGGTTCAGGCTGGGGAAAGATTCCGACTTTAAAGTCGGGATCCACCCCAGAGTCTGGAGCGGCACCTTTCTCAGGCTCCCAGCTGTAGCTTCTGACTTTTAAAATAAGGGCTCTTACCTGCCAGGCATCCAGCGGTGTCCTCACTGGGCCCCCGATTCGGTTATTGGGTGCTGGCGTAGACATCTAGACTAAGGGAGACCTGCAGTTAAGCCTTGCGGCTTCACAGCTGGTTTCCTACTGTGCATGAGCGAAGCGCTTTGTGCAAATGTGCCGCAGTCTTCTGGGACCTGTGAAGTGTTCCAGAAGGCTGTGGGGGAAGGAGGGGGGAGCACACTTTTGAGTCACTTCGCCATGGCAAACTGAGCTGGAAGTGGGAGCGGGTACCTTAATATTGAACATGTGGTTATAATCTACTAAAACACTTACACATTGTATCCATAATGCAAATATAGTTTTCTTTATGCAAATCCCTTCCTAAATCATCATATACAAGTTATGTTGCGTGGCCCTTTAAAGAATAACCCATGCTTAACCACTTGCCAACTGCACTATAGCCGAATGGCGGCTACAGCACGGTTGTCCAGTTCTGGGAGGGTGTCCTATGACATCCTCCTAGAACGTGCCCTCCCGCGTGCCCCTGGGAATCTCCGTGATCGCTGTGTCCTACTGTGATGTGGTAAAAGGCCACATGATGTTGTAAAAGGCCAATCACAGCGGCCTTTTACCACGTGATCAGCTGTGTCCAATGACACAGCAAATCACCGGTAAATGCAGTTGCCTTTTTATTGGCTGCACTTTCCTCACACTGTCACAGCATGAGGATGGTACTGCCAATAACACCGGCAATTGTCAGAGGACGGATCGGCACTGATGCTCAGTGCCCTGATGAGCAATGCTGCCCACCTGTGCCCAGCAGTGCCACCTACCGGTGCCCATCAGTACCCTGCAGTGCCGCCAGTCAGTGCCTATCATTGCTGCATATCAGTGCCTTCTATCAGTGCCCATCTGTGCCCCCTCATCAGTGCAGCCTCATCAACCGACATCCGTGAAGGAGAAAAATTACCTCTTTGCAAAATTTTTTAATAGAAGCAAAGAAAAACTTTTTTTTTTTTTTTCAAATTGTTTGCTCTTTTTTTGTTTATAGCGCAAAAAATAAAACACCCATTAGCGATTAAATACCACTAAAAGAAAGCTCTATTTGTGTGAAAAAAAATTTATAAAAATGTCATATGGGTACAGTGTTGCATGACTGCACAATTCTCATTCAAAGTGCAACAGCGCTGAAAGCTGTAAATTGGCCTGGGCAGGAAGGGGGTGTAAGTGACCGGTAGGCAAGTGGTTAATGGAAAGAATAATGTTTTCGAATACAAATTTAGTATTTTAAAAAATTTAAACAATTTTAGTTTTTTAAAAGAGAAGTATGGAATGACTGATTTTTTTTTTTTTTTTTAAATCATACTTACCCAGGTGGATGCAGCATCGGTCCAATGACTGCATAGTCAGTCTAAATATTATCTGTAAAAGTCGAGTTTGGTTGTGTCCTCACCTCCACCTAAGCTTCATTATTGGTCAATGAATCTATCTCTCCTACCTAAAGAGTCACGGTGACCAAGAAACACTTTTCAGGCTGCTCGCATCAACAAATCATGTTTATCGTTAACAATTACTGTCGCTGTCCTTGCTATAGCAATTCATTATATTTTTGTCAGTAACAGCCCTGTAGTACTCTTTAAAGGCTAAGTTCACATTTTACAAAAAATAATAAATTCACAATTTTTTTGCAGTTTAAAAAAAAATATATGCATTTATTATTTTTTTTTAAGCAGGAGCCTGTAAAGTATTGCACATGTGATCAGCAGATCATGGGGGCAGTTTCAGGCTCCTGCACACTCTCCCTCCAGCTTTCAGCTTGTACCTCTGTACGAGCTGTCAGCTTGTAAGCTGGAGTGCGTGTGAATGCACTATGGGCATGCTGATTGGCATGCCCATGCCCATTCAAATTACAAGTCTGTCTGCTGAGGTGACAGGAAGGGATCCCCCGCCTGCTGTCACTGGGAAGGGGGGGATCAGAGATGCAGAAGGAGGTTGCTGAGCATGTTGCATGTTACACCCTAAATATGGGTGTCACGTGTTCAAAAAGGTGAACTTATCCTTTAACCTCTCACCCTTTCATAGGCCCGCACTGCTCCCTCTATCAGGGTGTCTGGCTGCTGCCTGTGAACCCTCCAGGGCTGTGTGAGTGACAGCAAGAAACAGGTTGAACATTCTCTGCTGAGCATTGGAAGTCAATGCCATCGCTGATAATATGCAGGCACTCTCCTGCAGGAACCTACTACAGAAGGCCCCGGACACTCCACAAAGTGTGAATACATCTACAGGGCTATTACTGACAAAAGGCATAAAGAATTTGTATAGCAAAGGCAGGATCTGTAAGGAGCGTATTTAAAAGCTGTAAATGTGAGTTTAACCAAGCATTCATTTTGGGTGAATGTCTTCTGGTGAATAAGTTTTTTAATTTTCAGTGAATGATTCACCTGTGGACACATTTACTGCTTTATAAATATGTCCCAAAGATTTTTTTTTTAAACATTTTTATATATTTGATCAGGCAGGAAAAATGTTACCTGGTGGCAGGGTCTCTTTAAGAAAAACAATGACAGCTCGAGAGAGGTAGATGGGGGGCAGAGTCAGGCTTTATTTGCCTGTAATTTAGAGAAACCTTTTTTAAGAAACTTTACAGAATCTATAATATAATTAACCTTTTTTATAATTCAATTCTGATTTGTTTTTTTGTTTTTTTATGTTTAACAGAGCCGTTATCATGAAATGCCCGATCCAAAGTTTATATATGGAAGCCACTATTCCTCGCCAGGATATGTTCTGTTCTACCTGGTTCGAGTTGGTAAGGCTAAATCTGGTTAAAATCTGAAATTTTTAAGACCTAGTGCTAGATATGTAATGCTAAGTCCTTTTAAAGTGTTACTAAACCCTCAACAGTAAAATCAGTCTGTAGTAAAGCATGCTTGTTATACTCACTGTGGAACCTAAGGGGTTAATCCTCCGCATTGTGTAAAAAGGATGTTTGATCCTGTCTTCTCTGAGCCTCCCCTTCTACTGTTCCCAATATAACTCTTGATAGAGCAGAAGCTTGGAGACAAGCTGCACATGCTCAGTTTAGTGTGTATTGCTAGAGATTTTTTTTTCCTTGGGAGAGTCCATGTGATCAGCACAGGGCCAATCAGTGCTGTCCGGACAGAGGGTCAGGGGTCAGGAGAATGAAAACTCCTCCTACAAGCTTTAACCAGTGCTCAGCTGGAAACTGCTAGAAGTCACAAGACTGCTGATGAGAGAGTGCATGCCCAGGGTCAGCCACATGTGGATCGCGATCTGGGCTTGCGAACCCAATATCCCAGAAAATAAGAGTGCATCAAGTGGGTGACGGCAGCAGAGGAAACAGGTGGCTGCGGAGGGAGCTGGGGCTGCATAAGCCGATGCCCGCTTTATAGCGCGGGCTCTTGTGCCAGGCAGAGTGATACCAAGTGCACTTCGTCTGGGACCTTTCTAGCAGCCTGCAGACAGAGAACCATGCCAGCAGCAGCTGGAAGAGGACAAGAAGGTCAGTGTATTAAACAACACATACACTGCGCTTTTCCAATGGGCATATTAGCACCTATAAAAGGGTTAACAGCTAATAGGCCGCTTTCACACTGATCTACATGTGCAGCGCAGTGCACCTACGGCTTATCTGCGGGTTAGCAGCACGGAGCCATAGGCTTCTATTATATCCTACGGGTTTGGTGTGCTTTCTGAAACCCACCAAAACTCCTAAATGCAGGAGTGTTGATATGCTTTCAGAAAATGCACCACACCCACAAACTATAATAGTCTATGGCAAAGTGCAGTTAACCCGCAGGAAAGCCGCAGATGCACTGCGCTTGAGCCACGGTATGGGTAAACTGCAGCGCATCAGTGTGAAAGCAGCCCCATAGGGGGGCTCAGGACAGTAAGGGCTTTGTTTACATTTGCAGTTTGTGGGTGGTAAAATCCCATAGTTGAGATGTGTTTTAAACATACACACCCAAACACTTTTATAGTGTTGGGTTGCAATGGTGAACCTGCCCCATGCTTCAGGGGGCCCATGTGGCCTCCCTGTCACATTCTGTTTTACATTTGGAAAGGTGGTGCAGCAAGGCTGGTATATACAGAAACCAATTCTCTCCATTTGCCTTCTGCAACCACTGAAAGACTGCTTTTCCCCCTCTCCCCTGCTGCCAGAATTCAGCAGCTTCAGGAGGAAAATGTTCATTAGGTTATTAAAAAAAAATTCAAAATTAATTTCATTTCATTGTGGCCCGTGTGTGGTTACCACATCACGAGTGGCCCTCGCTTTTCAAAAGGGTGAGCCTTCCTGCTGTTGAGAGACCACTAGTAGGTGTAAGAGCAGTGGTTTCTTACAGAGGTCTGACACCCCTAATAATTTGTCTACAGCAGTGTGACACTTCCAGTCATTTCTCTGTATTGGTGTGACATGCCCAGTGGTTTCTCTATAGCAGGGGTATTGAATTTATATTCATGGCGGTCGAGTCACTAAAATTATCTTCCAGCAGAGGTCTGAATCGCATGTTTGATTCTTAATGGCACCATGGAGCATTGGCAAATGCTGCGCATTTTTTGAGTGCCGAATCGGTTTGGTGCAGTGCAATTTTTAAAAAAGGGTCAGGGACTTCTTTTTATGTGTTTTCTGCACGTAAGACAACCAATTGAAATGAATAGGCTACCTTCACACAGAACAGGTAGCAATGATGTAAACCTAGTCTCAGATCCTTCACATCACAATCCCATTATCAAAACCGTGTTCTTGGTCGTCCCGTACATCACACACCCCCCTTTACATCTCATTTCTTACATCAAGATCACCCTTTTGCATCATAGCCCCCCCCCCCCTTCATATCACTCCCCCCATTAATATCACCTCACATTCACATTCCTGTTCTCTCTTACCCCTTTATATCAGCCCCCTCCTCCTTCACATTACTGTCCTCCAGCTCCCCTGCACATGACACCCTTTACATCCCTGTTATCTCCCCCCCACTTTGTATCACTCCCTCCTCCTCATTCCAGTACTCACCCCCCTTTGCATTCCTACTGCATCCTCCCCTTTGTATCAGCCACCTCCTTCAGATTCCTGTTCTTAACCCCCCCTTTATACCACCCCCCTTCCTCCTTAACATTCCTGTCGTTACCTCTCTTCCCTTTTGTATCACCCCCTCCTCCTTAACATTCCTGTCCTCGGACCACCTTTTACATTTCTTTCCTCGGGCCCTCTGCCCTTATATATCACCCCCCCCCCCCACATTCCTGTCCTCAGCCCCCCTTTATATCTCCCCCTTCCCGTTCCTGTCCTCACCCCCCCCCCCTTCCCGTTCCTGTCCTCACCCCCCCCCCCTTCCCGTTCCTGTCCTCACCCCCCCCCCTTCCCGTTCCTGTCCTCACCCCCCCCCCTTCCCGTTCCTGTCCTCACCCCCCCCCCCCCTTCCCGTTCCTGTCCTCACCCCCCCCCCTTCCCGTTCCCGTTCCTGTCCTCACCCCCCCCCCCCCTTCCCTTCCCGTTCCTGTCCTCACCCCCCCCCCCCTTCCCTTCCCGTTCCTGTCCTCACCCCCCCCCCCCTTCCCTTCCCGTTCCTGTCCTCACCCCCCCCCCTTCCCGTTCCTGTCCTCACCCCCCCCCCCCTTCCCGTTCCTGTCCTCTTCCCCCCCTTCACATCATCCTCAGCTTCTCCAACAGCAGTGACATAGTTCTCATTTGTGTCTTACCTACACAGGGCAGAAGGCAGGAGACACATCCACCTAGGGCTAACATTGGAGGCAGGTCATCTTCAAAAGAAGGAAAGGAGCTGCATGACTTTTCCTGGGAACCAGCTTGTGTTTGGTTACTAGCAACCAATCACCTGCTGGTTAACTTGGCAGCTCCTGCCCTCCATCCGAAGCTGCCTTGCCTCCGTTGTCAATTCTAGACTGATGTGCCTTCCGCCATCCATCTGGAACTCTCCTGCCTCCGATATAGCCTCGTTAAGGATGACCGTAGTAACTGTGGCTGAGCAGAACAGCCAGCTCCTAAATGGCAGGAACGAGTTGGTCCAGATGGTAAAGTGACTCGATCCGGACTGCCATCCGCCATTTGTTTATATCTGCTGTTTGGCAGTGTGATATACCCAGTGGTTTCTCTATAGCTGTGTGGCATGCCCAGTGGTTTCTCTATAGTGATGTGAACTGGCCAAATGTTGCCCTATAGCAATGTGACATGCCCAATGATAGCCCTATAGCGTTCTGACACACCTAGTGGTTTCTCTGTAGTGCTGTGACATGCCCAGTGGTATCTCTGTAGCTTTGTGACTTAACCAGTGGTTTCTCTATAGTGATGTGACATACCTAGTGGTTTCTCTATTGGTGTGACACACCCAGTGGTTTCTCTATAGCAGTCTGACATACCAATTGGTTTCTCTATAGTAATGTGGCACACCCAGCGGTTTCTCTATAGTGATCTCACAGCCATCACACGCCCTGCTGACTGTAAGACTGTAGGTCTGACTCAAAAGGCCGCATGTAAGCCATATCAACAGAAGTGTCGTCATGAAACAGTAAGAGCTTTTTTTTTTTTTTTTTACATAAGTAGGTTTATACCTTGTTACTAGTTTACATGCACCTAATGCTTAGTAGACTTTTTTTAAGTGAGTGTAGACTCTTATCTTCTCACAATAAGTAATCATAATGATGTAACTCCCTGTAATTAATGTACACATCTCAGGCCCTGTAAACTAGCACCAGAATGTTTGTATAGGCTCTCAGAGGTGCCTGCCTATATATTACATTATCGTCTACAAAACCTGTGAGATCCCTGAACCCAAAAGCAGTAACATGCTAATGCCGACATGGACTAGTCGTGCATTACTTTTGCACTGCTGCCTTCTGCAGCTCTATAGCTGTGATAGACAGACCAGCTCACTGAACAGCTGGAGGAGGGGGCAAGGTCAAACACAACTTACTTGGCCAAGTTCCTATTTTTAAATTCTAGTTTTCCATATTTTTAGGCTTCCAGGGTACTAGACAGAAAATATGTGGAGATGCCTTTAGGTGTCTGCCTTAAAACTCTGGTGCCATTTTACAATGCATGAGGTTCCAAGGCACTTTAAAGCAGAAGTCCAGAATTGTTATCCAAAAAGTTGAAACCTGCTCCCCAGCCACTTTCTATATCCTTTTCCAACTACCCTGTAAAAGAAAGTTGCTTTATACTTGGGGTGCTTTGGTCTGGTCACATGATTGGCTCCCAGTGGCAACTTTTAGGGGAAAGGAGAGGCAGAAAATGGAGTAAATCTATGGGTGACGTCGCTGTTCAGCTTTTGTTGGCGATCTCTCCTCTCCCCTGAAGCCACCTGCTGGGGGATCAGGTGACCAGACCAGAATGCCCCCAAAATAGGTAAGTATAAGCATCTTCCTTTTACAGAGTAGTTTGAATAGGATTTAGGAAGGTGGTGGGAGCAGTTTTAGGCTTCGTTAGATCAATTCTGTACTTTGACTTTTAGATATTTACCAAAAATGTAGACCTTAAAGTGCTCTCCTCCTTTTTCCAGCCCCTGAGTACATGCTTTGCATCCAGAATGGAAAGTACGACCACGCAGACAGGATGTTCAACAGGTGAATATATTTGTATGCTGCTGGAGATAATGTTACATGGTAAAATACATTTGTTCTGCATAATGTGCTTCATAATGAGGATATCAAGGATGTAACCGATTCTTCCTCTCATTTCTAGCATTGCAGAGACATGGAGGAATTGTTTAGAAGGTGTGACAGACTTCAAAGAGGTAATTCCTGTTTTTACTACTGTATACTTCACTAATTTGTTTTCTTTTCATAACTCAATTGATATTGTTAGTTGGTTCCAGAGTTTTTTGGAAAGGACGGGAGTTTTCTGTTAAACGGTTTGAATCTGGAGCTGGGGAAGAGACAAGGGGGAAAACTGGTGGATGACGTAGATCTTCCGCCGTGGGCCTCAGGTAATGTAGTCCTAATCTCTGTTCTGGCATGTATATGGCAGCTGTATACACTGTGTAACGGTTTGTATTATCCATGTGGCTTATGCATGTCCTCATCCTCTAATTAGATCCAGAAGATTTTCTGCAGAAAAACTTAGAAGCTCTGGAAAGCCAGTATGTCTCAGATCATCTCCATGAATGGATTGATTTGATATTTGGTTGTAAGCAGAGAGGAAGTGAAGCAGTTGCTGCAAATAATGGTAGGAAACAATTGATTTTACAAATACCAGTGAATAATACATAGTTATAGGTGACTTACAAACCCCCTTTACACAATAAATAAAGGTGCCATATCTGCAGAATACAGCACTCACCAGAACTGTGCCAACTTTTTCTTTGTGTTTCGATTTATAGATGTACATTTCAAGCACGGCAGTCTTTCTGCAATATTTATATTTAATCTTAAATGGGCAGCGGAAGCACCTGATTGATAAAACTATATGTAAAACCTTCACCTTCTAAAACAACTCGGGGCAAAACATTTTGTGTATAGATCTAAATAGAAACATAAATATATTTTTTTTTTTTTTTTTTTTTTTTTTTTTTTCTTTTGATCACATTCCCTCTGTTCTCGGCTGCATAAGAGCTGGGGTTGGAGAAACAGTATACTGATCTTCCCAGTGAAAGGCTGTGCAGGAAGGAGGGGGGGGTGTCAGAAGGAGTGTAATCATCGGAGGAGAGCAGGCTGAGTTCCCAGCATAACTATAGAACTGACCACAGTATGCTCTCCTGCTTAGTGTGGTCAGGTTTTATAGGAAAGCAAAGGGAACTGGCAGGAACACCAGGAATTTCAATCCCTGCAATACAAAAAGAAAACAGGATACTTATTCATAGAAGCGCATGGTACAGCAAGCACATATCAGGAATATGAACTACTGGGTTGATGTACTCTTTTAAAGCACTAGTAATAAGTCCATACTCTGGCCAGCTCACTCATATGCCCTTTCCCTCCTATCTGCTTGTTGTGCTCCTTCCTACTTCTCTTTTCCCCCTTTTCTTCACTGTTCTGCCCTCTTTGTGCAGCCATGTGAATGCAGCCTATCAGTAGATTCTCACCAGTTGTTCTAAATGCTGCTTGCACACTGCGTGAACCACAGCAGCTGTCAGATATGAAATCTATATAAATCAATGGCCAGCACAGCCATTGTTTGCATGTACCACTCAAATGAGTGAGTGAATAGAGCTCTTCTTAGAGCCTCCGACTGACCCTGGACACAATGTGCACTCAGTCTTTGTTTTTTTGGAGTTCTGGCCACAAGTTTGTATGTGGTCACAGCACAGAGTGTTGCCACATCCAGAGGCGGCGTTTAAGCATCTACGAACGCAGAAAAGTATGGTCCCTGGGTGCCTGTGTAATTATTGCTTTACATGTCAAGGTCAAAAGAGAAATATGGGCTTTAAAAAAAAAATCATACTTGTTTAGGTGGATGCAGCATCGATCTGCTGGACTGTGGAGGGGGTGGGACTGGCGAGGGGGCGGAAGGGACTGGCTCAAGCTCTCAGCAGATCGCTAAGAGCCCAAACCAGGTGCCAGTCCAGGCTTCTGGGTGGATCCTGACCATATGACCAGGATCTTGTCAGAGCCTGGACTGGCTCTATGATGGCAGCCGACAATGGGCTTTAGTCCACTGTTGGCTGAAAAATGTGTCAAAGGAGTGCAGAACAAACTGCACTCCTGTGATCCGTAGAAATATTGTGGCATACATGTTAAGATGACTGTAACTTTGCTTGGTACATATGACATATGCTGTGTTCTCGCCCCACATTATTTCTGAACAGTCATGTACAGTATATGCAGCTTGACCGTGGAAACTTACTTTTGTATTGTTTTTGTAATGTAAAAACTTAGTGAAAAACAAAACCGTACTGCTGGTCAATGGGTGTTTTCATACCTTTACTTTTAGTAAAATAAAGTAGTATTAATCTCCAGTGTGTATTTTACTTTGCTTCTCATTACAGTTTTATTTTCTTAAGTGTGTGTGTGTGTGTGTATGTATGTATGTATATGTGTGTGTATATGTATGTGTATGTGTATGTATATATATTATATATATATATATATATATATATATATATATATATATATATATATATATATATATATATATATATACACACACACACACACACACACAGTGGGGATCGAAAGTTTGGGCACCCCAGCTAAAAATTTGTATTAATGTGCATAAAGAAGCCAAGGAAAGATGGAAAAATCTCCAAAAGGCATCAAATCACAGATTAGACATTCTTATAATATGTCAACAAAAGTTAGATTTTATTTCTATCATTTACACTTTCAAAATAACACAAAACAAAAAAATGGCGTCTGCAAAAGTTTGGGCACCCTGCAGAATTTATAGCATGCACTGCCCCCTTTGCCAAGCTGAGACCTCCCAGTGTCATGGATTGTTCTCAATCATCGTCTGGGAAGACCAGGTGATGTCAATCTCAAAGGTTTTAAATGCCCAGACTCATCTGACCTTGCCCCAACAATCAGCACCATGTTTTCTTCTAAGCAGTTGTCTAGAAAACTGAAAATAGTTGACGCTCACAAAGCTGGAGAAGGCTATAAGAAGATAGCAAAGCGTTTTCAGATGTCAATATCCTCTGTTTGGAATGTAATTAAGAAATGGCAGTCATCAGGAACAGTGGAAGTTAAAGCAAGATCTGGAAGGCCAAGAAAAATATCAGACAGAACAGCTCGCAGGATTGTGAGAAAAAACAATTCAAAACCCATGTTTGACTGCACGATCCCTCCAGAAAGATCTGGCAGACACTGGAGTTGTGGTACACTATTCCACTATAAAGAGATACTTGTACAAATATGGTCTTCATGGAAGAGTCATCAGAAGAAAACCTCTTCTACGTCCTCACCACAAAAATCATCATTTGAACTTTGCAAATGAACATATAGACAAGCCTGATGCATATTGGAAACAAGTTCTGTGGACCGATGACGTTAAAATTGAACTTTTTGGCCGGAATGAGCAAAGGTACGTTTGGAGAAGAAGGGGCACAGAATTTAATGAAAAGAACGTCTGCCCAACTGTTAAGCATGGGGTTGGATCAATCATGCTTTGGGGTTGTGTTGCAGCCAGTGGCACAGGGAACATCTCACGAGTAGAAGGAAAAATGGATTCAATAAAATTTCAGCAAATTTTGGATGGTAACTTGATGCCATCTGTGAAAAAGCTGAAGTTAAAGAGAGGATGGCTTCTACAAATGGATAATGATCCTAAACACACCTCGAAATCCACGGGGGATTACATCAAGAGGCATAAACTGAAGGTTTTGCCGTGGCCTTCACAATCTCCTGACCTCAACATAATTGAAAATCTATGGATAGACCTTAAAAGAGCAGTGCGTGACAGACAGCCCAGAAATCTCAAAGAACTGGAAGACTTTTGTAAGGAAGAATGGGCAAAGATACCTCAAACAAGAATTGAAAGACTCTTGGCTGGCTACAAAAAGCTTTTACAAGCTGTAATACTTGCCAAAGGGGGCAGTACAAGATATTAACTCTGCAGGGTGCCCAAACTTTTGCAGACGCCATTTTTTTGTTTTCTGTTATTTTGAAAGTGTAAATGATGGAAATAAAATCTAACTTTTGTTGACATATAAGAATGTCTAATCTGTAATTTTATTCCTTTTGGAGATTTTTCCATCTTTCCTTGGCTTCTTTATGCACATTAATACAAATTTTTATCTGGGGTGCCAAAAACTTTCGATCCCCACTGTGTATGTGTGTGTATGTATATATGTGTATGTGTGTTACATAGCGGTAGGTTTTACATTTTTGTTTTGTTTGACAACATGGCAAAAGCTGGTCCCCTTTTTGTAGCAGGTTGCTTTTTAATCTGATTTTTTTAGCTCATTGTATTAATTTTCTTACTATACTCTATTAAAAATTTACATTTATTTCTGTCCTTTTGGGGCAGGTGTATATGAAATAGGTATATATTTCATATTTAATCAGAGCCAGCAGGTGGTGCAGTAGTGCCATGTCATTTTACCAAGTTACTGAGAAAAAGATGTAGTTATCATGCTATTCAAAGCACAAAGCTGAATATATCAGAAGAGGGATACTTTCCCCGGCCCTTCCCTTCTTTATCTCCAATTCAGGTTAAGCCGGCCATACATGGATTGAAATTCAGCCGGTCAGTCTAATGATCAACTTCTGTACAACCAGCCTGTTGGATTTTTCCTACTCACTCAACACTGCCAGCTATAGCCAGCAGTGATGATCACTGTATTCTGATGGCTAGGAAGTCTCCCCCTTGTCTAAATACAATACTTCCACATCCTATCATATTCACATCATTTTTTTTTTTCCATTCATCCCTCTGGTTGAATGAAATTGACTCCTATGGTCTGCTTTAATGCAATTCAGTATGAAGCTTCAGTTAGAGACAGTCAAAAGAGACACAACTGGGCTTTCTTATGCTCTGCAATGACTGTATTATAGAAGCTTCCTTATTAAAAAGAAGTGATCAAGTGATGGAAAAGAATATAAAAGGTCAGTATGGAAATATTTAACACATCTGAATAAAACTGACCTAAAGCTATCATCATACAATGTGAAATGACTAATATGGTTTTGACTCCCTTGGTATATATAATCTCTTATTTTGTCTTTTTGTAAAGTACCAATAACCCTAGAAAAATGGCTTTCCAATTAAAGAGGACCGAGGGATAATGTTCACCGAAATATTGGCTAAAACCAAACCAGTGATGATAAAAATGTGACAGCTGCCATTGCAGTTTTCAGGCTACTGGGTTGTTATCCTGATACTTCATCTATTGAGCTGGTGGATGGGAACAAGCATGCAGCTTGAACTCTTTTCCTCCATTTTTGTTCCAGTTTAGTGAGCCAACTTTTTTCCCATAAAAATTGTATTGGCAACGTGATATCTCTAAACCTTTCTAAACCAGGCATAATCATTTATTTTGGAAGGACTCTGGAGAAAAAGCTTCCTGTAAATATGGCATAGTTGGTGTTTTTCCAGATGTCGTCATTTCTTCAGTGGTCCTGTGTTTTGTGTGTTTGTTTTTTTTTTACCATCCTGTCTGCTGTTTTTCACTTCAAAATCACAACTTTCCACAAATAACATAGAATGTTCTGCAACATGAAAACACAATTTTAATGCAAGATGTATTTTTTGCAGTGTTTCACCCTGTAACATATGAAGGAGAAATTGACTTGCACAGGTAATTATACACATGTAGTAGATGATAAAATACTGTCCTATGATTTTAGTGTTTATATTGCTCATGTTCTAGTTTTTTGTTCTATTATTTGTTAATCATTGATAATAATAGTTAAATATTTGTAATAATATAAGTGCCCAATCATAGCTGAATGCTGATTAAAAAAAAAAAATTACTCCAACAGACAAACGGGGAAGTACAGCTGTCTCTGTAATTTTTGGCTTCTCATGCAGGAAGGGGGGGAGGGTAGTTATAGCAGCAGGAGATTGCAGGAAAGGTGAGTATCATTGGATCAGGGTAAGGCCATTTCAAAGTGTCACACTCGCCTATTCTGTGTTCCAGCCCTGGGTCCCTCCCTCTGTATGCAGCCACCAGCTTCCACCCAGTCACAGAGGGGATGTTGTCTGAAAGGTCTAGCATGCACTGTGCTCAGTGTTCGAGCAACATGTCCACACACTGGCAGCTGGATGCCCTGACTCCTCCAGCAACATCCTCCTGTTTTTCTATGCCTTCATTGATCTCCTGCATTTCTTTGTTTCTTCAATGTGTCCCACCCTGCTTCCAGACTCGTATTCCCAGTGTGTCCCAGACTCGTGTTCCCAGTGTGTCCCACCCTGCTTCCAGACTCGTATTCCCAGTGTGTCCCAGACTCGTGTTCCCAGTGTGTCCCACCCTGCTCCCAGACTCGTGTGTTCCAGACTCCCAGTGTGTCCCAGCCTTGTATTCCCAGGGTGTCCTAGCCTACTCTCCCAGCCTTGTGTTGCCAGGGTGTCCTAGTCTACTCTCCCAGCCTTGTATTCCCAGGGTGTCCCAGCCATGTGTTCCCAGTATGTCCCAGACTCCTAGTGAGTTCCAGCCTTGTATTCCTAGGGTGTCTTAGCCTTCGCTCAGCCTCGTATTCCCAGTGTGTCCCAGCCCCCTCCCAGCATTATGTTTCCAGTGTCCCAGCCTATATTCCCAGTTTGTCCCAGCCTGTATTCCCAGTTTGGGAATAAAGGCTGGGAGCAGGCTGGGACAAACTGGGAATACAGGCTGGGACATACTGGGAATGCAGGCTGGGACTGTGTGTCCCAGCCTGTATTCCCAGCCTGCTCCCAGCCTTGTGTTTCTAGTTTGTCCCAGTTTGTTCCCAGCTACTCCCAGTGTGCCCAAGCCGGTTTCCCAGTCTGTATCCTGCTCCTGTCACTCTGTACACTCCTACCTGCATCCAGTCTTCCTTCATCTCTGTGTCTCTTTGCATTTCAGCTCCTTGCTTCTCTACACCAGTGTGTTTCCCCTGTGAGTTCCAGCCAACCTTGTTGTTGGTACCTGTGCACTCCCAGACTGTGTTTTCTTTGTCTCTGTGTGTTCCTTTGCTCTCTTGCTATTTCCTCAGTGTGTCCTGCTGTCTTGTGAGTCCAGTGCTGCAAGGGAGTTTTTCATCTGGAGTCCACAATCCTGGGTATCAATCACATTGTAACCTCTCCACCACTAAGAGGCTTGGTTTAGACCAGGTGGTACCTTGACCCTTTTCAGGACCTCACCTCTGCTAAGTAAGCCGGCGTGCCAAACACTCTGTCTCTACTTTATGGCTTTCTACACCATCTGATCCACTACCTCAACCAGTTCTGGTCGGCTACTTGGCCCTTAGAGGGAGAAGGTTCCCGAGTCCTGACACTCAGTATGTCTTGAATGAGAAAAAGGATTGGTTCACGTTTACAGGAAAAATGGAAAGTGACCTAACATTAGACATCCTCTCCACTGAACATACCACTGGTGATGCTAAGCTGTCATTGTCCCAACAGCCTCTCCAGATTTCTGGGTATTTTAAATCCCCACTCTTCTCCGTGCAGCGCTTCCAGGACAGACCGGATCGTTTCTGATTGGTCAGCGTCATTGACAGTGAAGCGATCTATTCTGTCTCTGAAGCACTGCATTGAGAAGAGGGAAAAGAGCGGGGATTTCAAATTCCTAAACCGCTGGGAGACACTGACAATTCAGCATCACCGTCCATAATTGCAGCGGGGGGAGGGGGTTGTTTGGTTTTCATGTTAACAACATTTTTTTTTTTTTTGTAAAGTTGAACATTCTAAGACTTCAACATCCTCTGCTGTATTTTTACTACACATAACTTATTTCCCGATTAGTCTTTTGATCTAAAATGTGAGATGGCAAATAAAAGTATGCCAGAGATATGCACAGATTTTTTTTTTTTTTAATGTGTTCTTTCCCTTTATAGTATTGAAGATCCTGATCAGAAAGTCGCTATGTTGACACAAATCCTGGAATTCGGTCAGACACCCAAGCAGCTATTCATGAAATCTCATCCAAAGAGAATATTTACAAAGTCAAAATGTTTTTCAAGGTCTTCCAGCCAAAATATTTCTGTGCCAGAATCACCTGGTATGTCTGAAACATGACATCTTCTTTCTAGAATTGTTGCTCAAAATTTATATTTGCCAAAGTAATTAACTTTTATGCTAGTGCATAACTATATGGGTGTTGTGGATGGCACGGCTTCTGGGCCCACAAGGTCAGGAAGCTCAAGTTTGACTCTACACCCTGTTATTTACCAGCTGTATGTTAACATTACATTCTCTAGAGTATCAAGTAATACTTCCCTTACTTCTTGTCACATTTCCTTTGTTTTCTTAGTAGAGATATCTTTATTTAGCAGTTGACTGGACACTTTAATGTTGTATGGAACAGAAGCAAGCCTTGGTCAAGGTATCCAGTGTTGACTGGGGAATCCCTCTCGCTGAACCATTGTGTTCTTCCGCTGAGGTGGTGGGGGGTGTCTGTCCCTGCTGGGTGAATGCCGTGATTATTTCTAGTAGCTTATGATAATTGTATGTAAAATCCAGCAGGCTGTTTGTGCCCATACATGGTTCGAATCTGGACTGGTTCCTGCTGGGCTTAAAGATTTCCTATTCAAGACAAGTGGCAGTGTAAAGCCCACTCCGACCACATTTTCTCCATTTTGCAGCAATTCTCCTGCTCCCTCCCACTGCTCCTTCCTTCATTGCAGTTGCCATGAAAATGCCCATTGTAAGGTGGTGTCAAACCTCAAGTTGAGCTGTGACATCACCACCCTTGTCCTTTGACCGTGCTCAGGCCTAGTGATGGGTCATATGAATGCTGATTTTTTTTTTTTGCAATGGCAGCCACAGGAGAAGGAACTGTAGATGCGCATTGGAGAGGTAAGATTGGCAGTGCCAGATTACCAAATGGGCAATGTAGGCACTGGCCTATAGACTCCATGCTATTTAGGGGCCCCGCAACAACAGATCAAAATTATATTTGATCTTGAAAGAAAATTACAATGAAGCTTTCTTAAACTGTTTACTAAAGAGAGAAAAAATGAATCAACTTAAAGAAAGGAAAGATTACATTAAAGGCTCTATAGAGAAATACAGTATTATTATTATACAGTATTTAGCACCAAAACGTTTGCTCAGCGCTGTACATTATAGTGGGGGACAGTACATGAGACAATACAGTAACAAAACCATACACGAGGGGTTCGAGGGCCCTGCTCTTTCGAGCTTACAATCTAGGAGGGAGGGGATAGTGGTACAGGAGGAAATGGCTGTGGGGGATGGAGTGGTAGGAGGAGTGGAGGAGATCGGCAGTTAGGTGAGGGTGGGGTAGGCTTCCCTGACGAGATGGGTTTTCAGGGTGCGCCTAAAGGTGAGGAGGGTAGGTGACAGTCTGATGGATTGGGGTAGTGCGTTCCAGAAGATGGGGGAAGTCCTGGAGAAGTCCTGCAGCCGAGCGTGGGAGGTGGAGACCAGGGAGCTAGAGAGTAGGAGGTCTTGTGAGGAGCGAAGATTACGGGTAGGGTGGTATTTGGGTATCAGATCGGTGAGGCAGTTTGGGGCAGCGTTATGAATGGCTTTGTACGTCAGTGTTAGTAGTTTGAATTTGATGCGTTGGGCAATCGGGAGCCAGTGGAGGGAATGACGGGGGGTGGCAGAAGAGGAGCGGTTGGGAAGGTGGATGAGTCTGGCCGCTGATTTCAGGATAGACTGAAGCGGGGATAGTCTGTGATAGGCCGGTGAGGAGGGAGTTGCAGTAGTCCAGGCATGAGATGAGGGAGTGAACAAGTTGTTTAGTAGTGTCTGGGGTTAGGAACGTAAATATTTTGGAGATGTTGCGGAGGTGGAGCCTGCATGAGCTTGCTAGCTATTGGATATGGGGTTGGAAGATCAGGCTTGAATCTAGAGTGACACCTAGGACTTTGGCTTGCGGGGTGGGACTGATGGTGGTGGTGTTGGTCGTGATGGAGAGAGGGTGGGGCACGGGCTGGGGGAAAATTAGGAGCTCGGTTTTGGAAAGGTTCAGTTTGAGGAAGTGGAGCAACATCCAAGCTGATATGTCGTTCAGCAGGTGGGTGATACGGGCGGAGACTGAAGGGGTGAGTTGAAGGGTGGAGAGGTAAATTTGCGTGTCGTCGGCGTAGAGGTGATAGTTGAAGTCGTGGGAGTGTATCAGTTTGCCAAGGGAGGAGGTGTAGATGGAGAAGAGAAGGGGCCCGAGGACAGAGTCTTGGGGGACCCCAACAGAGAGAGGGGGAGGTGGTAGCGTTATAGGTAACGCTGAAGGAGCGTTGGGAGAGATAGGAGGAGAGCGGAGTCTCTGATGCCGAGGGAGTGTAGTTTTTATCAAGGAGGAGGGGGTGGTCAACTGTGTCGAAGGCCACGGAGAGGTCAAGAAGTAAGAAGACAGAGTAGTGGCCATTAGCTTTGGCGGTTAGCAGGTAATTAGTGATTTTGAGTAGGGCGGTTTTGGTGGAGTGTAGGGGACGGAAGCCAGACTGTAGTGGATCGAAGAGGTTGTTGTCAGTGAGGTGGGAGCTTAGGCGATTGTATATTAAGCGCTCAAGGAGCTTGGAAGTGAATGGCAGCAGGGAGATGGGTCTAAGGTTGTTCAGGTCAGTGGGGTCCAAGGAGGGTTTTTTGAGTATGGGGGTGATGTGCGTGTCCTTTAGGGGGGAGGGGAATGCGCCAGTAGAGAGGGAGATATTGAAGATGTGGGTGAGGGAGCGTAGGATGGAGGGGGAGGGTGCCCGGAGGAGTTGTGTGGGGGACAGGGTCAAGGGGGCAAGTGGTGAGGCGGGCTTCTGAGAAGACCTTGATGACCTCCTCAGTGGTGGCAAGGCTGAAGGAGCGGAGTGTTGGGGAGGTTATAGTGTGCGAGATGTTAAGAGTGGTGGGGGGCAGGGCGGTTGCAAGGTCAGAGGAGGGGAGAGTTGGAGGGGTTGTAGTGGGAGGGAGGCTAGGTGGGGAGGTAGGAGGAGCATTGGCAATGTTCTTAATGTAATGTACCCAAAAACAACTTAAAAGGAGAAGCTCCGCTTGTTTGCAATCCCTCACCCCCACGCCACATTTGGCGCTTTATGGGGGGGGAGCGGGTACCTGGTTTTAACCGTTCAGCCCCCCTCTTTCCCTTCACAGCTCCCAGAAGACTACGGGACCAATCGCAAAGTGCAGCGTGACTTGCACATGCACAGTAGGAAACAGGCTGTGAAGCCCTAAGACTTCCAGTTTCCCTTACTTGCAATGTCGGCACTGGGAACCCGGAGGCTAGTGAAGAACTAGCCCGGTTACAGTTTGTAAATAATTTTGGTGCAAACTACATACATGTAATGGTCATCGCCATCAACGTGCACACTACTTAGTTCAATGTTATCCAACTACAGTGTGATAACAGGAAACCTCCAGAAGCCTGCGAGGGGGACCCCAAGGTTTCAATGGCTTGGGGGCCTCCACAGAATTTAATCTGCCATTAAAGGTTGGGTTTTACACAGACGCTGTCCCTTTTCCCAAGTCGGTAAAGTGACAGTGTCTTTTTTTTAATCTTGTACTGGGCCACTGGCTTTTGGCTGCATGTTTGCAACTACAAACTCATGAAAATCACTTTTAGTAAGAAGCAAACACTCTGTAGTTACCTGTAACCAAGCACCTTATTAGGTAGGCCATTCCAGTTAGTTGCATGCAATGTGAATACCTCGGCTACGCCTTGTTCCTTGTTCTTCTTCCTTGTTTAGACTACATAGCAGTAGAAAGAACTGCTTCAGAAGCTAAATGAATGCCCTTTACAAACCTTGTTACCTAAAATACACCTGCCATGAGATATATGGAGGCTGCCATTGCTTTTTTGCATACCTACTAATTTTAAACCTTTTTAGTCACCAACCATGAACAAAGTAGGTAGATTAGGGAATTTGCAAACTCTATGCTTAAAGCATTGTAGTAAGAAAGTCGGAATAACTGCCAGGCAACTCATGTCACATGACAAGCTTGTCTTATAAGTTCATTTAAAATGTGCTCAAACGTTGGCAAATGTGTGCATGTTGTAACGGCTGTTCTGCATTACCAAACACCATCACAGTTGCCTGTGAAAGCTTTCCATGGGAGTTTAAAAAAAGAAAAAAAGGGTAGATTTGTAGAATTTTAACCACTTCAAGCCCGGACACTTTCACCTCCTTCCTGTCCAGGCCAATTTTCAGCTTTCAGTGCTATCACACTTTGAATGACAATTGCACGGTCATGCAACACTACCCCAATGAATTTTTTTGGGACAGATAAAACTTTATTTTGTTGGTATTTATTCACCACTGGGATTTTTTTTTTGCTATATAAATGAAAAAGTCCAAACCCTTTGTGTTTTTTTTTTTTTTTTTTTTTTTTTTTTTTTTTTTTTTTTTTTTTACACTGATTACTTTTACAGCCTTATGGGTGTAAAAGCAATGATTTCTCCTTCTCTCTGGCTGCATTCTTGCAGCCATTGAGAAATACAGTGAGAGCTGTGATTGGTCACAGCTTGTCACATGGTATAAGGCTGTTGTAAATAGCCTTGTACCGTGTGACCTCTGTGATCATTCACAGATTTCGCAAGTAGTTAGCAATCATGTCAGGAAGTGACATCTTGCTTACTAGTATTCATGTGATCACTGATTGGTCAATCAGTGATCACATGATCGGGACCTCGCATAGAGGTCCCATACAGCGAGCAGTGCCACGCGCTCCTAGGGAGTGCGCACAGGCATGGAAATGGGTTGGACATTTATAAACGGCCACCCGCCTCTGCATTGCTCCCATCCAGCCGTTTATATACATGGGCCGGACAGGAAGTGGTTAAAGCTTCTGCTAAACTGGTCACCACATGCTTTCAAGCCTGAGTTTTCACAGGAATTTGATACAGGTGATATTTTAGACCATTTAGTGACTTAAGCTTTTGCAGTTTATTTTCATGTCTTTGTGTTTCTTGCAGTATCCCTTAGTGAAGATTCTTTTGAAGATTTAACAGAAGAAAGTAAAACTCTTGCCTGGTGTAATATCACTAAATTCCAGATAGACAGCGGGTACAAGATTCACAAAGAGTATGTAAATACTATATATATTTTTTTTTTTTTTTTTTTTTTTTTTTTTTAGCTGTATTCAAAAATATTGTCTACTTTTATGTCTGCTTTATAAGTCTTGATCTCTCCTGCAAATATGAACTAACTTAAAGGAGAAGTATGGCTGTACTCTTGTGGGTCACAGGAATGCACTTATTTCTGTACTCCTGTGACCCAGATGCAGCCGACTGCTTGGTGATGTCACAGAGCCAGTCCAGGCTCTGCAGGGATTTCGATAATAATGTTTGGATATGTCTGCTCCCCAGCCCGGTGCTCAAGTGAGCATAGTGGATCCAAGAACTGAGTAATCAGTGGTCTTTGATCTCTCAGCTCACAGTATAGAGCCATCAGGGGACAGCTGCAGTATCACATCAATGCTGCATCCACCTAGGTGAGTTTGATTTATTTTTTTAAATCCCGCACTTCTCTTTTTAATGTTTTTCATATAAATCTTCAAGACCTTGGTGAATATTATTACACCCGTCTTCAATTGGCTCATATGGACCCTGTGAAAAGAACGGAGAACCATCTGAAACTGGGCTTCTGGTTTATTTCCTGTAGAAACATGTAGGCATTCGTGTGTGTATTCTAGCATGGAACACAGGGGTAATATATGTAAAGCAGCGGCTGATGGACCCTTGGCTATTTTGATGTGTGGGGGGTTTTTTTTGTTTTGTTTTTTGTGGGGCTTTTTACTTTTTAAAAGGCACGTGCACACAGTCCTATGAAAAATAGTTTCAAATATGCTGCCAGAAGTTGGCAGAATAAATGCCTCCTAATCCGGCCTTCTCATGCTCGTATACGGACGTACAGCGTTTAGATGCATGTGAGCGTCAGCTCATTCTATTGGCTAGATTTAAACAGGGCTTGAAAAAGCTGCTCGCCAAATGCGAGGAGAAATCCTTGTGTGGCGAGCAGTGGCGTCCAGAGGCAGGTGCAGGGGGTGCGGTTCGCACACGGCCACTCCCAGTACGATGTGAATGGACAGTGGCCCTTCCTCACTGAGTTTGCCCCGCCCTACTGTCAGAGGCGAGAGGAGAGGAAGGTGCAGCTCACCATCACCTCCAGGACAGCCTGTGATAGCAGTGAAGCCCTTGGTGTCCCTTGGTAAGGGGCTGGGAGAAGAGGCGCCCGCACTTCTTCCGGGAGTGCCAGGACCCGCCCCCTCCCCACTGATCCCTCCATCTACTTACCTGCTGCTAATCCGGAGCCCTCATCACCACACACAGCGACATGTCTGAGCTGTGGAGGAGAGGCCCGGGGGAGCCCGAGCACGACAACAGCACTGACAGGGTGAGTGTCAGCGGACAGGGCATGGGATTGGGGGCAGGTCACCTGTACATGGAGTGTCCTGGGTCTGACTGAGTGCAGGTGAGGGGGGCCCTGACAGGGGGTGCTGCCTTCATTTCTGTGGGGTAACTCTTGGCTTCTGTGGTCTGGCCTCAAAGCATACATTGATTTCCACACTGGATTTCAGTCATTTCCACTCTACTCCTATTATTCTGAAGTTTGTAAACTGACTTTGCAAAGATCTCCTCACATTTAGGGTAGGTTCACACTATCTCTTTGCTCTGAAAAGTGATCCATGGTGGATTGATTTTCAGAGTGTGACTAAGCTGCCCCTGTCAGAGGTTCAAGTGATTTTAAAGGCAATTTTTTTTTGAATAAGAAAAAAAAAAACATGTCTATACTTACCTGCTGTGTGCAGTGGTTTTGCACAGAGCACCCCAATCCTCCTCTTCTTGGGTCCCCCGCCTGCGCTCCTGGCCCCTCCCTCCTGCTGAGTGCCCCCAGAGCAAGCAGCTTGCTATGGGGCACCTGAGCCGCTGCTCTGCGTATCAATTCACATGCAGAGCCGCAGCTCGTCCCCGCCCCTCTCTCTCCTTATTGGCTGTAATTGCACCCTATTGCTATTAAGCTATTGCTGTTATGTTTAAATTGCCATAATAAAGCTATGTTATAATTGCAGTTTTTTATATTTTGGACTCTTTATTCTAAAGAAAAATGTAATTTCATAAGCTTTAAGGTGGCGTGGTTGGGGGACGGGCCTGGGCTAGGTTGGGTGGGGCAGCTGGTGGAAAGTAAGGCTTGTGCCTGGCTAGTAGGTCTAGACTCGAAATTTTTAGCCCTAGCCGCTAGAATATGAATCTATTCTAGCCACTAGAGTAAATGTACACGTTTACATGTGTATAGGCATAAATTATGCTGGAAAACTCCTCTCTGAATGCAGGTTTGGGGCATTTTATTATGCCCCTAAACTCTGCTCTAAAATACGCTTGTAAATGACATATGCTTATTAGATAACCTAGAGCTGCTTTCAGAGGCATTAAAAAAAAAAAACAGACACCTCTAACAGCAGCATTTTTTTCTACCTGTGTGCATGAGTCCTGTGCTGTAAAACAAACCAAATTTGCAAGAATTTAAAAGGACCAGGAAATCATTAAAAAGCTAGCTTGAAAGGGCAGAGAAAGTGAGTAAGTGCTAGTTATAAATTGGGATTAATTAGGGGTTGAAAATAGTTTTTCATTAAAAAAAAAAAAAAAAAAATTATCTTCTTTCGGGCCTGCTTTGGCAACATTAGGGAAAAATACATTCATTTAAATAGTCTTGGCAAAAGTCAACTACTACAGTGTAGTAACTTTTTTGTTTATTTTTTGGCGAGCACTAATGCTTTAATTCCTTGTTTACACAGGATGTGGAGCTGTGTGTTTTTGGGGTTTTTTTTTGTTTTTGTTTTTTTTTTCCACCAACCTAAAAGATAACATGCAGTCAGAGGGGGTCCTATACATTCTGTGGTCGCAATGCTTTGCTTCACAGCAATGGCATATTTAACTGGGTTTGTCAAACCAAACTCACCCATTGAATTCAATTGAACCATGCTGCAACCATGAGCCAAACACTTGGCTCACTGTTGTGGTGCAGTATTTCAATACAAAATCCAGATTTGGCAGGGAGAAAACAGGAATTCATGGATTGGCAGGATTGCCTCCTTAATGCCTGGGAGCTATTACTCTACCATTGCGGCCTAACATTGCTGTCGGAACCAAAAATACTGATTACAGTAGCTCTGATACACTGATTGAGAGACCGTGGCTGTCAAACTAATATCAGGTCCCATCGGTTTCACCCAAGGGTCTGTAGGCCTTTGCAATAAAATTTACGCACTGTAAGGACACTAGTGGAAAGTAATTGTATTTTTTCTTTGGTTTGAGAACCATGATTGCTGTTTTTATCCCAACAGAACTATCACGGGCATTGCTGTATCTTCTAATGGATCCTCTGTTTTCACAACATCACAAGGTTAGTTGTAAGAACGGGATTCCTTCAATATGGGAAAGTCTGCTGTTTTATTCAGGTTGGACAAAAGAAAAAGATATGCTGGAAAGGTGATAAGTGTGTGTGTATACAATAAATGAGGCTTAGCCACTGGGCCATAGTAGGGCTATCTTTTTGCATCCAACCAATAACTGCTATCTTTCTGATTTAGAAGAGTACTTCATGTAACAATATGTACATTGGTGATGTTAAGGTGAGATTTGTTAAACGCCATGGATACATAAGGGCACAAAGTGGTCTCTGACAGACCATTGCATTATGGATAAATTTAAGAATCTGCTCCCAAATCTATTCACTATGGCGCATGACCATTTACGATGCACACTTAAGGCTTGCAGGTAAGTACATTTAGGGTAGCAGGACTTTGTGAATGTGAGAATTTATAAAGTCTATGTAGGCTTGATGTAGGACAGGAACTTATATTTGTCTCCTTGACACACATGCAAACCTTGCTTTTAGCCTCCAGGCATTCCTCCCAGTCCTCTCCATCCATACCTGAAATCTATCCCTGCCATACTTGGTGGGATTTGTGAACATTCAGTTTAGCTTTTTAAGTATTTCCTAATAGAGTGATTTCTATGGCGTTTTTCTCACAGATGTCATCAGTGGATGATCTATAGCTATTAGAGAGGTGATAGGTAGTTGTGTCCTGTAGACATACCTGAGCTGAAAGGTATCTGTAGGAACTGCTTTGTGGTAAGGTGTGCGTCATCTAGAAGTTGACCTAGAAATCACAGACCCAATATCTGCTGCCGGGTAGTATCTGGTAAGTTTAAAGTGGTTGTAAAGGCTGAAGGTTTTTTTTTACCTTCATGAATTCTATGCATGAAGGTAAAAAACCTTCTGTGTGCAGCAGCTCCCTCAGCCCCCTCAATACATGCTTACCTGAGCCTCATCGCGATCTAGTGATGTGAATAAAAAGTGTCGGCTGTCCCGGTTTCTGCCTCCTCATTGGCTGAGACCGCAAGCGAGCCATTGGCTCCTGCTGCTGTTAATCACAGCCAGTCAGTCAATGAGACAGCGGGGCGGGGCCAAGCCACTGCTCCACGTGCGAATGGACACGCGGAGCAGCAGTTTCCCCCATAGCAAGCTGCTTGCTGTGGGAGAACCCGACAGACAGGAGGAGCCAGGAGAGCCTGTGGGGGACCTGAGAACAGGAAGATCCAGGCTCCTCTGTGGAAAACCACTGCACCACTTGCAACCACTTGTTGTTTTACAAAAAAAAAAAAAAAAAAAAGAAACTTTTAGGCCTTGTTCACACTATAAGTGCAGAAAAACTGGTGGAAACTGACATGCAGATTTCACTTGCAGAGACATCAGTTTACATCAGTTTTCATGTACGTTTCAATGAGTTTTATACATGTTGCAGATTCTTGTGCAGAAAAATATCTGCACGTAATACTAGTATTGTGGTGTGAACAGGGCAAATAGAAAACAATTGATTTTTTTTTTTTGTGCCCTTGCAGATGGCATGCAGAAAACGTCTCTGCTCCATAGTGTAAATGAGGCCTTATAATCGCTTTAAGTTCTGAATGGGTCACGTTATCCCATAATGGGGTATGGTATGAAAATCAATGAAGTAGCAGCGTATACTTCAGTGATTTCCAGCTTCCAAGGGTATCAGCCAGGTATGGTATTTACATTGTTCCAAGCTGGATCAATGTAAATATGTAAAAATATACCATGCCTGAAATTCATCTTTTACAGAAAATCCTCCATGATGATCTCTGCCTGTAAAGAATGTAATTTGCCCCCTTCCAGCTCTGACTCTTTTATGAGCAGGTGAAGACCAAGTAAAGTTTATTTTAAAAGCATATATGTGTGAATTAAATGTAATTTATTAATACATTTTAGATTCCACTTTGAAGATGTTCTCCATGAGCCAGAAATCTCTCCAAAGAAGTGTTTCATTTTCTAATATGGTAAGTAGGGCCCTTCCCTGGTACAATTAAGCACTGTTCGCTTCATGTATAAATGCTAGTGGAAAGAAAAATCTGAGGTGATACCTTTGGCAACCAGTCACATTTAAGAGCTTTCTTTTGCCAGCTACAAAAGAAAACAAAAGTACAGACGTAAGCCTTGTAGCAGTTTCATTAATAAGATTGGAAAAGGGGATATTTGTCAGCTAAAGGGGAAACAATTTTCCTAGAGGTATGGTCTCTAGATGGGGCTGTATTTTTGGTTTTACTCAGTGTGCAATTTACTAGAGGAGGAGTTATACCAAGAGTTTGAAGACCCCCAATGAATCCTTGTAAAAACAAATACTTGCACCCCATTGCCCAACAAAAAATTTATAATGATCTTCAGCCAGTCTTGTGATCTAGGCATCTCTTCCACACAACACAGAGCCTGGCCCCAAACCTCCCTGCAGACTGTACTGCACTTAAACAGTACAGCCTGGTGCCAAACCTGTCCGAGCTTTAATTAAGGGTTAACAGTACATTGATTAAAAAAACAGTTCTGTGCTCTCACCCCACATTGTCATGTACCTGTACTAATCGGAGCTCTATTTTTTCAAAGCGTTACCCCTACCTCTCCCAAAGATTCTAGCATTGAGTTCAGAGGCTAATATCTTGTAGAATTTTGGTTACCTTTTTTGCTTTTATATAGCTGGAGTTTAACTTAAAGCACTTCTTCTAAGAAGGAAATTGTAAATAAGGAGTGGGAAAGAAGAGAGTTTGTAGTGTAGTGTAATGTCATGTCACACCAATGACAACTTGCTCCCTTGTTGGCTGGAATGGTGAGCCACCACTCCCACACTGGCCAAGGGATATCTGCAATATTTTAGTAAGCGAGGGAACGTTGCCAAAGAAGTAGGTGAGTGGGGTTACTTGCCCTTGCCCTCTTTAGAGAAGACAACTTGCCAGTGACATTGGCCTTCATTAGTAGTTGAAAGTTTACATGTATTGTTCAGTGTCATTGATATACAGATGATATTTGGAGCAGAAGCCAATGACTACATATAAAAGAATGGGATTCCCAATCTGCTTGTCCCTCATGACAATCTATTTGTCCTGATTTAAAAAAAAAAAAAAAAAATTAACCAAAATTGTTTTTAAATACTTATTGATAGCAAGAAGGGTTGATGTTGTTTTATTAGTTAGAGGTGCTTTTAGGAATGCCTGGGGTTTTTAAAACATTAAAAGGGGCTTTAAATCAGTATTTAAACCCCTTTCATTTTTAAACACTGTTCTGTTTATCTCCTACTCACCTCCCTGCCTGTCTTCAGCACCGCACACGGTGACTAGCAGGGAGGGGGGAGACCTTGCAGTGTAATGAGCACCGATTGGGTGCTCATCAGAAAAGGGAAGTGTTAGGCTCTCTTAACGCCCAGCATAAGCGCATCTGCTGAGTGAGTAAATAACGCGCCAGCCCCAAAGAGGGGAAAAAAAACCCTTTGTCCTTCAGGTTACTCTCGCACATGAAAGCATTTGGGTGCTCAGTACAAGCGAATACTGAGCAGCCAAATCAAGCTCCGGTGTCTGTCTGCTCTGTTAATTGGCAAAAAAAAAAAGTAAACCCTCTTACTTGCCTGCAGCAGAGCTTAAATGTAAAGAAACACCTGCCAGAACCCAGAACTTCATGTCCCGGGTGTCGGGCGACATGATTTGTGCATCCCTGAAGATAGATTGTTACCAAGTGCTGACCCTTTAGGTAAACCAACGGTTATGCTTGACATACAATGTTGACACTTTTCTAGCTATTTCAAACACAAAAGACCAAACTGGTTATGGTAAATTATCAAAACCATTTCTATCAAAATGAATGCTGTTATTGGTAGGTTGACTTCATATGCTTTGTTTTTGCGATTGAAATCTGGCTGAAGGTGGTTGAAATTGCTATAGATGCATAGGGGAAGAAATAGAACTACTGAAGGAGTGAAAGAAGTGAGTCATGCTAATATCGTGTTCTATTGGCACAAAGGTGTTTCAGAGACAGACTGCGAAGATAATGATTATCTGTATTAAAAGCAGGACACATTTCAAGTGGCATTAGTAGGGAATATTCTGCTGTCTTACAATTTGTAGTGAAGCAAATACATATTGAAATATTTAACTATTTACTTTTTTTCTATACCTTTTTCCACAGGCGTTATCGTCTTGTATATTGTTACCAGGTGATACAACAGTGATGTGTTCCTCCTGGGATAATAACGTGTACGTATTAACTAACTTCCTTTTCAATGATTTGATAGTCTGTTATATCTCATTTCAGTAGGCATAAAACCATACCGTTCTACATCTAAGAGCCGACTACAGTCAGTTGGACAATTGCATCAAGCAAGGTTACCAAATCAATCTTTACATTTGAACAATGGCAGCCGCTCTAATCTGTTTGAAAGTAGCAAAATGGGAAAAGGTGCACATGGGCAGGACCATATACAAAGCAGTACAAAAGACTTCCCCAGCACACTTTCAAGCAAGCCAGCAAATAAACGCATCGGTTTCAACTATGATAGAAAACGACAAGATGTTTTAGATGCATACCTTTGCAAATGGGCATTTCTGATAAGTGTGCTGTATTGCTCTGTCCCATGTGCACCTTTCCCTTTTTTTGCTTGTTTCAAAGCCACTACCTTTGTTGCTTACTTTATATAATAAGTCTAGGTGTTTGTAAGTAATTTTTTTTTTTTTTTAACCTATTCCTGCTGGCATAACCCACATAGGCATCAGCACAGTGAGTAGGTCCTAATGCTAGCTGTATGCATGTATGTGCCAGCCAACTCCACAATTCTGTGATGAGACCACACTCACTGCATGCTTCCTAGGACGGTGACTGAGCTGTCAATGACAGATCTCAACATAAACCGCCAAAAAATTTCCCAGCACGCTTGCCAGCTAGCACAAAACAGAAAAAAAAAAAACTTAGCTCTGTCTAACAATTCACATTAAAGGGTTTGTTTGCACGTTTGCAAATATATGTGGAAGGTAAACAGCGGTCCTAACTTTGTTTTTGAGATTCTCCCAAGTTGGAACATATGTAACAGTAGATAAATTAAGGGCAAGTTTGCCTGGAGGAAGCCCACTCCTCCTTAAAGGCACAGGGACACATTGGACACCCAGCAAAAACACAGTGGCAGCTGTGGCATCCATTGTGTCCCAACACCAAATCCAGCGAACAAACTATACAAAAAGATGGCAGCCACCCCAATTTATAAATGGCCTTTGCAAAGGCATCCATTGTGTCCCTACGCCAAAATCCAGCGAACAAGCTATACAAAAAAGATGGCTGCAGCCTTTGCAGTAAGGCATCCATTGTGTCCCTACGCCAAATCCAGCGAACAAGCTATACAAAAAGATGGCTGCCACCCCAATTTATAAATAGCCTTTGCAGTAAGGCATCCATTGTGTCCCTACGCCAAATCCAGCGAACAAGCTATACAAAAAGATGGCTGCCACCCCAATTTATAAATAGCCTTTGCAGTAAGGTTCACAGCACAAACTGACAAAAAATTTCCAGCACACTTACCAGTTAGCCTGCATAAAAAAAAACAAAATTAACTCTAACAATTCCCGTTTAAAACAGAGTGTTTAGTTGCACACATTTGCAAATATTTGTGGAATCTGCAGTTCCTACTTAAGGCTCCGAACTCTCTATTTTTGAGAGCCTCCCAGAAAGACAGATCTCAGTCACGTTTATTACTCAAATATTAGGAGAAGACCAAGCTATTTTGGAACAAAGGTTAAAGCCTACCTGTGGTTCATTTTTTATTATTATTTTAGGTAGATGTGTTTTTTTCATTGTATTTGATATAATGTTGCAGTCGTGTAATTTTTTTTTTTTTTTGGACAAGTTGGGCTAAACAGATCTGTTCTGAATTGGATGTCTCAGGTGGTTAGGCACAAGGAACCATGGGAAATCCAGTTACGTAACAGTCTGAGGTTTTCTGTTGGAGTGCCTCCAAAAACATACATTGTTCTAAAGGTGGTGTTCATTAAAATCACTAGTGTAACAAGAGCTTGTTTCTCTGTATGAGTGTGCTAAATGTGTACTTTTCCAGGTATTTTTATTCCATCGCTTTTGGAAGGAGACAAGACACTTTAATGGGGCATGATGATGCTGTTAGCAAAATCCACTGGTGTAACAATAGGCTGTTCTCCGCATCATGGGATTCTACAGTAAAGGTGCGTATCGGCTGTGATATTTAAAATAAATGATAATCGCCTAATAGAATGCCAAGGTTTGGAGGATCCTAGTCCTCTAAAGATAAACCCAGCCAACCTGAGCCACATAGAGGTGCCTGGTTTATTGTACTGGGTTTACTTTAAATAAATAAAAACTTTTTTAAACAATTCAATTTAATTTTAAAAAGTTTTTAAGTTTTACTCATGTCATATTTTTACTAAATACTTTAACCCTTTGCCTGTCTTCATTTCTGAAATCACCTTACAGCACTGTAAGGATAGTACACAGGATTTGCACTTATACTTTTATCCACATTCTGCACATGCTCAGTTTGGTGTGTATTGCTAGAACGTTTTTTTTCTTTTCCTTGGGAGGGTGCATGTGATCAGCACAGGACCAATCAGCACTGTCCAGACAGAGGGTCAGGGGCTAAGCAATCTTATAGGGCAGTGAGAGGAGAATGAAAACTCCTCCTACAAGCTTTAGCCAGTGCTCTGCTGGACACAAGTCACAAGACTGCTCTAACTGCTGATGAGAAAAGGTGTTTAGCAGTTTATATTTACTAAAATAATTTCACTTCCATGTTCTGTGTACTGTGGGAGACCAGATATAGTGAATGCAGGGTCCTGAGTTTCGTGACACTTTAAAGAAATCATGTCTTCCTTTCAGGTATGGGTAGCATGTAATCTGCTCTTTCTAGCCGTCTGTAGCAAGGTGAAGGAGCTCCGTGCAGGTTCTCTGTTGTAACTTGGAGTTTCCAAAAGGTGTCCTCACTGAGATGTCTTTGGTGCTTGGTGAATAGAGAGTAACATCTTGGAACTGTGTATGTTCCAAGTTGTAACTCAGGGCTTTAACAGGACTTGTATCAAAACAGTGTAGCACATAAACAATAAGTCAAAAATAATACACATAAGTACACAATCAATGAATATAATAATATAAATTATTACATAGTGCGTAATAAAGTACCGAGTGTGGCAAACTGTGGCCCGCGGGCCGGATGTGGCCCTTTGCTTGCTTTTATCCGTCCCTAGGGGCACTTTGCCTTCCACTGATACAAAGCACTATTCCTTCCATTGACCGCAACGAATGGGGCGCTGTTCCTCCCACCGAGCCCAACGAATGGGGCGCTGTTCCTCCCACCGAGCCCAACGAATGGGGCGCTGTTCCTCCCACCGATGCCAGGGCATTTTCAAATCCCACCGGCCACATTCTGGCCCCCCTAAAGTTTGAAGGGCAGTAAACTGGCCCTTTGTTTAAAAAGTTTGGAGACCCCTGATATAAACTGTGCGCTTTAAAGTGTCAAGTGCAGTAATATAGCAAAAGTCCTTCCAGGTGACAGTCTTATAAAATCTCTCCAGTGAAAACAATTCCCAACAGTGTTGAGTCCTATAAAAGTGACGGTATTGGGGGCTCATCCAGCCAGCTGTCCAAGGAGCTAATCAATGAGTACCAGGAATTGACATAGCTTACAAATCAGGAAATTTTACTGCTAAATGATAGCAGATTTGAGATGTGAGAAATGGAGGTTCCCTACTGATTGAATTACAGGCTATTTAGCAAGTAGCGTTCTGATGAGTGCATGGTGGTGGAGGACCTTGCATAGGAGAAGAGCACTTTTAATAGGACTCAACACTGTTGGGAATTGCTTTCACTAAAGAGATTTTATAAGACAGTCACCTGGAAGGACGTTTGTCATATTATTGCACTTGGCACTTTAAAGAGCAGGGTTTATATGATAATACTGATGTGTTTCTATTAGAAGGATTGTGTTATACATAAATACATAGAAAATACTTACTAAAGTACACAGTGCGATGATATAATATTTTTTCATTTATTTATTAACTGTGGTTGACACTTTTATGTGTATTAATTTTGACATATTTATGCACTGCACTGTTTTGATACATTTACATTTTGGGTTTGTCGCTTTCCTTTTAGTGCGAGCAGTTCCAACTCTCTAGCGTCACCATTTACGTTTGACATTTTGTTTAACAGGGCTTCTTCTTTTCTCACCCACATGTGAAAGCAGAAAGTAAGGGATCAACTCCCATCTGTCACTTTGTCCTGCATGGACAAAGCAATGGTTTCACTTTAAATATCCAGTAATAGTCTCGTTCAACTGGACTTGTTTTGTAATGTTGAAGACCTTTTGTAGCTTGTCTAAGCTACCTTTCCTCAGTTGGGATGAGTACCAGGAAAATATACCAGCATTTATATCCACACAGCTAGTACCAAGCCTTGATCCAAACACCATGGAAATCCAGATGTCCTTGTCCTAGAACAGGATAGCAGGTGTAAAAATTGTGGACCAACCCTCATCTAAAATATTACTATCCTTGGTGTCGGGAGAGCCTTGTATGTGTTAATCATTTGATTTACAATGCTGAAGGTGCTAGGGTAGAAATGTTAATATGGCATATGTGGAAGACAGATGGTGTCAAAGGTTCCCATTGGTTGCTGTAGTGGATGGCCTCTTTCATTCTTCTGGTGAACTAGTTGTTTTCTCTGTCCTTACTGTCTTTGAAAGAATCTCCCTTTTTCTTAAAATGTAGTAGTCCTAGCCTGTAGAATTTCCCCTCCTATGATGGGCCATTCATATTTAACGAGGGGTTGTTTCGTCCCCCAACGTACAGGTCTTCGCATTTCTCACTGCACTGCATATAATATTCCTTGTATTCATTGAAACTTCTGCTAGTTAGGATTTATTCATGATGTGATGAAAATGTACTCCTGATTTTTTGATTAGGAAGTTTTTAGTGTTCAATAAGTAAACAAACTAGCATGTTATGTGTTTTCAAACAGTTTTGCATGCTATAATATGTGTAGGAAGACTTAACACAGTTTTTCTTGGATGTTTGTTTCAAAGGTACGTGTTAAAAGCATGACCTAATATAGCTTATGACAGGTCTTTTGATCTGTTACATGTAACCAATCTTTTGACAGCAGAAGGCATTCAAAGGCTTTTTATCCTCTTCCCATGCTGCAGGTGTGGAGCTGTGTGCCTTCCAAAGTGTGCGGAACCAAAAGGAACAACTTTGAACTGCTGGCTGAATTAGAACATGATGCTGGTGTGAGTGTTTAAATGTTCATGTATTGAAAGGAATATCCCAGCATGGAATATCATGTATTTTATTAAGGATGGCACAAATGGACTTAGATATTTAAACGTCCTAAAGAAGCAATCCGTTATCAAGTTGTGTGGTGCAAATCACAAGGTTTAATTCACACAGTTTGTCTGAGGGAATAATGTAAGCTGTCATTGCTGACCTTCTGGAATTAGGGTACCTGGCTGCCTGTGAGGTTAAGGTGGAACAAAACTGTATTTGAGCACCACAAACTGAAAATGCTATTTTAATTAATTTTTAATATTCAAAGCAAACTCCATCCATGTCTCCGTGCTTTATTTTGCTGAGAAACCACTTTTCTAGCCATGTCCATCTTCAGTAAGGGCAGATGATTCATGTAGTTTACTTCCTGGAATCCATCTGCCTTATGCACATGCATGCAGGCAGGAAGATGTACTGAGATGAGAAATCCCCTCCTCTCCTCCAGATGAAAGAAAAATGGCCATAGAACATGTGACATCATTTGCCTAAGCCAGAAACCTGGAAGCAACTAAAGACCTGTTGAAAGAAAAAAAAAAAAAAAAGTGTTTCAAACAAGTAAATGTAAAATACCTTCCTATCCATTTACTGAGGCTAGCAGCATAAGAATTAAAATAGTAAATGTTGATTGAGAGAGCTCAGTTCCACTTTAATAATTTAGGTCAGTTACCCTGGACAAGTATGCAGTCAGTAAAGTCACGCTCCTGACTTAGTGGTGGTTCACATATATACGGATTGGATGCAGTTTGAACCTCATCCAATCCGCATGATGTGAAAAATCTTGCTTCCTATGGTGTCTGTTCACATATGTCCGGTGCACTGGCAGTGCGGATTCGGTGATTCCAGTATGGTTTAAACAAAAAAACTAATGTACAGTTTCTGAGCAGTGTGGTCCAGTTCAGGTGTGGATTACAGGCTATTGACTTCTATGGGAACCGTTTCTAAACTGCATATGTGTGAACAATATACGATCCTGTGCTGAACCTGATGTAAACCTGACATGAACCTGTGAACAACCACTGTATCAATTAGCTGTGAAACCTGAGCTTCAATCCGCACCGCACATGTGTGAATCAGCTTAGTTGATGGTTCACATATATGTGGATTGAATGCAGGTTGGACCGCATCCAATCCGCATGACATGTAAAATAACATTGCTTCCTATGGTGCCTGCTCATATACAGTGAATAAAAAGTGTTTTTAATTTTTTTGAGCAGAGTATAGCATCAAGTCAATTAAACTCCTGGGATATTGATCAGGTCAGTTAAGTAGCAGAGGGGGTTGTTAATTTTCAGCTGTTTTGGTGTCAGCTGAAACTGATTAACAGCAGGTACACTAGATGGGCAATAATGAGACGACTCCCAAAACTGGAATGGTTTTACAGGTGGAGGCCACTGACGTTCTTTTTTCCCTACTCCTCTTTTCTGACTGTTTTTTTTTTTTTACTAGTTTTCCGTTTGGCTAGAGTCAGTGTCACTACTGGTAGCATGAGGTAATACTTGGACCCTACAGAGGTTGCACAGGCAGTCCAACTTCTCCACGATGGCACTTAATACGTGCCATTGCCAGAAAGTTTGCTGTGTCTTGCAGCACAGTCTCAAGAACATGGAGGAGATTCCAGGAGACAGGCAGTTACTCTAGGAGAGCTGGACAGGGCCGTAGAATATCCTTAACCCATTAGCAGGACTAGTATCTGCTCCTTTGTGCAAGGAGGAACAGGATAAGCACTGCCAGATCCCTCAAAATGACCTCCAGCAGGCCACTGGTTTGACTGTTATTGACCAAAGAATCCAAAACAGACTTCATGAGGGTGGCCTGAGGGGCCTGACATCCTATAGTAGGCCCTGTGCTCACTGTCCAGCACCATTGAGCTCAATTGGCAGGTGTCTTAGACTTCCGTCCTCTGTAGGTTGATTATTTTAATTTCCATCAAACGAAGGGGCATCCTTACATTCCTAACACATTACCCAGTCCAAATCAGTATAGATATCCAGCATGAGGTTCTAGCCATCAATGGTTTATCATTACTCTGAAATGGATAATTATGATCAGGTAAGCAGGGTGACCAAAGGAGCCAGCTCATAGTGTGGTCCGCACACTGCTCATATTTTCCAGACACTTCAGTTGTTCACAGCTTGGCTCAACCTTACTATGTAGGGTCCTCAGATAACCTCTAGTGGTTGGCTGCACTTCATGAAAATTTAATACGAATAAGTGCTTCCTAAAAGCATTTCTTATGTATTAACATTGATTTCAAATAGATTACATATGCTGTTGAGCAATCAACTTCCATATACAGGGACAGTAATTTCATTATTTATTCATTTTGCATGAAAGAGTTATGAATCTAACAAACATTACAAAGCAAAATTCCACTAGTAAAAATTGTGTATAGCTGGCAATATTTGGATCCCTGCTGGACAGGCTGAATTTCAATCCATGTATGGCCTGGTTGGTTGTATAGTGTGGCTGTAAAAGTCAGGTTTTTCCTGAACAATTAGTGCCAGCTATAGTTGGCAGCACTGACCCTTGTATTCTGCTGGTGGGGAAGGATCCCTGCCATCAGAATACAATTACTTTGCGGGAGTGATTCATCATCCACCTTGAATGTGTAGATGGGGAATCTTCCCATTTTTTTTTGTTAAACTCGCTGGTTGAACAAAAAGGAATGAATCTCATATGGCCAGCATATGTCTATCTATGCACTATTCTATCATGAGTTAACTATTTTATGCAGTTAAGTTATGCTTGTGAAAGGGTGTATAAAAATATTAAGAAGTAGTACACTACATGCATTGAAAATGTTTACTTATAAAAGTAATTTTGAAAGTATCATTAATTTTTTTTTCTGTTTTAAAGATGGGTCTCTGCAGAGTTTGACATTTATAACATGTCTTGTAGCTGGAGAGTTGACTTAAAGGGTAACTCTAATTTTTGGGGAAATAAAATAAAAAATATATAGCATATACAACTGCTGCACAAGCCATGTTGTGATTGAATGTTATTAAAATGACCTTTTCCTTTTCATTTTTTTATTATATCTTTTTATTGTTTTTTTTTTTTTTTTGTTACAAAAACACATCAGTATACCGTTTTCATCCAAAATGCAAACATTTCACTAAGGTTTTCCATCCCAACCTCCCTTCTCCCCCCCACAACTTCCCACAGTCCATATAACTCCTCCCATCTCTTTCCAATAGTCCAGTCCGTGTCTATAACCCTTCTCAATCCACTCTTCCTTTTCTTAAGATTCTTTCTTCCCCTCCAACCTTTCTTTTCCCTTTTCCTATTTCTGCTACGGTTTTACATAACATTCCCTTTAATTCTGCTACCTCAGGTCAAATCACTGGGACCCCCACTACTTCCATATATTTCCCAGATGCCGTGAAGTCATACCATCTTCCCCATTCCTTTCTGAATTTTCCAATTTTACAGTCATCTATATGATATACAGTAACACAGTATTCAACCCTGTCTAGTCAATCCCTCATTGTTGGAGGCTCCTGTACTTGCCAAAATTTGGGAATAAGCCCTTTAGCCGCACTAATTAGATGGTATAGTAAACTATTTTTATACTGCTTCACTGGTACTTCTGACTTCTAAAATAAATATACCCACAGATCCTTAGTTATTCCCAGTATCTCTTGTATAAATTGGATTAAATCTTGCCAAAACCCCTGTATTTTTGGACAGTCCAACCATATATGTGCCATTGTTCCCTTAGCTGCACATCCCCTCCAACATAGCGGTGAGACTTCTACTCGCTGTCTATGTGCAACACTCTGTGTCAAATACTATCTCGTTAAACATTTGTAATTCATTTCTACCTTGTTCATGTTCATCACCCCATGTGTTAATTTAAGCATTTTATTTTTCTGTGATTCATTCATTTTTGTTCCCAGTTCCCTTTCCCATTTCTGTAAGAACATCGGAGGGCCCGTCCCCTTTAATTCAATAAGAATCTTGTATATCTTGGAAGTGACGTATTTGGGGCCCTACTAGAACCCAACATCTTTTCAAATGGGAGCATGTCCTTCGTCGTCCTCAGTTGTTTGGGCAACTTCGAAACAAAATGTCTTAATTGATAATCTCAATTCATCTAATGCCAAAAAATTTTCTTTTTTTTTCTTTTTCTCTTTAACTCTAGAAAAGTACACAACTTCCCATTAACTACTATATCCCCCAACCTTACATTTACATCTTTTCTCCGAAATGTTATCCTGTTATTCTTCCCCAGCAGGAAAAAAATCAGTATCCACTAGGGGAATCAACAGTGAATTATACTTCCAACCCATTTAATTGTGCAATCCATCCCATACTCTTAGCACCTCCTGTGTCAGTGTACTCCTAGTACCATCCCTAATATGAAACATTTGTGGAATCCAAATAATCTTCTCTAATTGTGTATTGCTTAAAATACCTTCCATTTGAACCCAACTCTGCCCCTGTGAGTTATATGTCCAATCTACAATTCGTGACAGTATCACCGCATTATAGTAATTCTTAATATTGGGCAGATTTAGTCGTCCTTTCTCTTTCTTATTCTCGATTTCTTATTAGCTTATATGTATTTAAGTATTCATTTTTTCATTATCCCAAAAAAGGATCATGGGATATGGACTGGGAGCATATGAAATTTATACAAGATTTTTGGGACTATCACCATCTTAACCAAATTTATACACCCAATCCAAGAGACCCTTCTCCTTGGGAGTCTTCTCAACTCATCCTTTATTTCATTTATAAATGGGATATAGTTTACCTGATATGATTTTTTTATAGACGGAGTCAACTTTATTCCTAGGTTACCCAATTCCTTCGCCCTCCATGAAAATGGAAAGTCTTTTTGTAGAATTTGCGTCTTTCTTTAAAACATTAATATTCAAGATCTCTGATTTTGATGGGTTTATTTTCAAATTTGAAAGCTCTCCATACCTTTTTAGTAACCCCATTAGGTTAGGTAATGTTATCCCAGGGTTAAAAATGTAAAACCGCATATCATTCGTGTATGCCACTACCTTTTGCTCTCTCATCTATCTTAATTCCTCTAATATCTACATTCTTTCTTACCGTCGCTAGCAAAGGTTCCAGGGATATGACAAATAATGGGCATCCCTGTCTTGTACCGTTATACATCTTAAAGAACCCCGAAAGGGACCCATTCACCTTAACCGCCGCTGATGGGTCTTTATAGAGCTCTTTTATCCAACTCATCATTTTAGTCCCTATTCCCAAGGCCTCTAGGGTATTTATCATAAACCCCCAGTCTACCCTGTCAAAAGCTTTTGCAGCGTCGACCGACAATATAATTGCTGGTGACTTTTCTCTCTTTGCTCTCTGTAAAAGAAGCAATGTTCTTAGACCATTATCTCTCCCTTCCTGGGACAAAACCCACTTGATCTAAATGTATCCATTCTGGCATCCAACTCTTTTAACCTCCTAGCTAGCACCTTTTGCCTACAGTTTTGTATCTGTATTTAGTAGAGATATAGGTCTATAGCTAGTGCATTGTGACCTATCCTTTCCTTCTTTTAGCATATACGCTTGCAATGATTCTTCTCTTATTCCCATTCCCTCTCCTAAGGCATTCATATGTGTACAAAGCTTAGGTACCAGTAGATCTCTAAATTTCTTATAATACCCCACCATATACCCATCGGGTCCTGGGCTCTTCCCTCCTGCTGTATTTTTCACGGCCAAATTAATCTCCTCCTGGGAGATTGCTTGTTCTAGGGACACTAATTTTTCTTTTGAAATGTTTGGCAGATCTGCTGCCTTTATATACTCCTGCTGTTTCCCCTATTTTCTTCCTCTGTAACTTTCAGGTTCTTAGATTTTACATCATACATCCTACTATAACATTTTTGGAACATTTTGGCGATTTATCAGTGGTGGAGTAAACCAGTTCTCCTCCTTTTTTCATCTTTTAATTTTTTTCAATATAATGCTTCGATTTCTTAAGTCTTTTATGACCTTTCCTTTTCAATCTGCAGCTCTGTAATTTTTAGTACAGTGCAAGGCAATATGGCTACCTGCAGATGTTCTGCACATAGATGGTGTATAGAATGCCCCTGAAAATGTAATTTCCTGCTTGTGTGATTAACTGATTTTCCCAGAAGTCTGCACTAGGATACAAATCAGATTTTGGGCATCCACTGCAACAGAAATGCCATGTTTGGTGAGATACTCCCAAAGGAGATGCAGACCATGCAACATTTCTTATTAGAGCTCTTCAAGTGTAGCATCTGATTGACAATTGTAAAGTCACTCCCATTCACATGCATTTGCACCTAGACAGACAAACGGCTATTTCTTCAGAATAACAAATGTAGGAGTCTGCGACAGCATTTGTTAAAAGTCCTTGCAATGTATATAGATCACCCAGAGGGGAATGTTGTTTGTTTTTTTTTTTTTTTTTTGTTTTTTTTTGCGTTTTTTTTTTTTTTGCCTCAACAAAAGTGGAATTACTGTTTGAGGGGAAAAAAAACACTGACATTTCTCCACAAATCAGTCATTCAAAACATAAGGTACACTGGCTAGTAAGGGTCATTATAATACAACAGATACAATATGGAGAGTTGAGGTTTGCTTTGCTGTGCTGGTTTGTTCCTCATGTAATGTTAATAGGTCTGATTATTTACTTGGAGCCTGATACTTCAGAGCCATTACTGTACTGAAAAGGTAACCCTAATGGTTCTCTGATTTACAGTGATTGTAGTAAAGAGATGGTTTATTACACATACACAGAAGGGAAATGATTGGTTTGGTCAATAGCAACCAATTCACTTTTTAAGTTTACCTTAATATCTTGTTTACAGGTAAACACAATCAATGCGAGCTTTGATGGATCATTGCTGGTATCAGGAACTAAAGAAGGCACAGTGAGCATCTGGGATACTGCTGAATCATCTATATTACATCAGCTTCCTTGCCACAATGGACCCATTTGTGAAGTTGCATTGAGTCCCGGTAATTATTTTTTTTTCTTACAGGTACTTTTTTTAGAGCTATTGATTTACGCAGTGCTTTACCTGTATAATGTACATTCACACCAGTCCCTGCCCTCGGAGCTTACAATCTAAGGTTCCTAACTCACATTTGTACATACATATACTAGGGACAATTTAGACAGGAGCCAAGTAACCTATTAGCATGGTTTTGGCGTGTAGTATGAGATTGGAGTACCTGGAGAAGACACAGGAAGAACATGCAAACTCCATGCAGGTAGTGCTCTGGTTGAGATTTGAACAGACGACCCTAGTGCTGCCTGTAATTTCCACAGTATTATATATTGTATAAGCAATTGTTGACTAACAAAGTGATTTCAAGCAAAGTTAGTTGATTAATGGAAAATTAAAAAATTAGTAATTTATAGTTTACTTACTTGTAATTTATATATATATATATATATATATATATATATATATATATATATATATATATATATATATATATATATACATATACAGTAGACCTCAACTATGAGAGAAAAATGAGAAAAAAATCCAGACAATCACATTGGCTGCTTTGGAAAGAATTTATTTGCAAATTATGGTGGAAAATAAGTATTTGGTCACCTACAAACAAGCAAGATTTCTGGCTCTCACAGACCTGTAATTTCTTCTTTTAAGAGGCTCGTCTGTCCTGCACTCATTACCTGTATCAATGGCACCTGTTTGAACTTGTTATCAGTATAAAAGACACCTGTCCACAACCTCAAACAGTCACACTCCAAACTCCACTATGGTGAAGACCAAAGAGCTGTCGAAGGACACCGGAAACAAAATTGTAGACCTGCACCAGGCTGGAAAGACTGAATCTGCAATAGGCAAGCAGCTTGGTGTGAACAAATCAACTGTGGGAGCAATAATTAGAAAATGGAAGACATACAAGACCACTGATAATCTCCCTCGATCTGGGGCTCCACGCAAGATCTCACCCTGTGGGGTCAAAATGATCACAAGAACGGTGAGCAAAAATCCCAGGACCACACGGGGGGACCTAGTGAATGACCTGCAGAGAGCTGGGACCAACGTAACAAAGGCTACCATCAGTAACACACTACGCCGCCAGGGACTCAGATCTTGCAGTGCCAGACGTGTCCCCCTGCTTAAGCCAGTACATATCCGGGCCCGTCTGAAGTTTGCTAGAGAGCATTTGGATGATCCAGAAGAGGATTGGGAGAATGTCATATGGTCAGATGAAACCAAAATAGAACTGTTTGGTAGAAACACAACTCGTCGTTTTTGGAGCAGAGAGAATGCTGAGTTGCATCCAAAGAACACCATACCTACTGTGAAGCATGGGAGTGGCAACATCATGCTTTGGGGCTGTTTCTCCGGAAAGGGACCAGGACGACTGATCCATGTACAGGACAGAATTAATGGGGCCATGTATCATGACATTTTGAGTGCAAACCTCCTTCCATCAGCAAGGGCATTGAAGATGAAACGTGGCTGGGTCTTCCAACATGACAATGATCCCACACATACCACCCGGGCAACAAAGGAGTGGCTTCGTAAGAAGCATTTCAAGGTCCTAGAGTGGCCTAGCCAGTCTCCAGATTTCAACCCCATAGAAAACCTTTGGAGGGAGTTGAAAGTCCATGTTGCCCAGCGACAGTCCCAAAACATCACTGCTCTAGAGGAGATCTGCATGGAGGAATGGGCCAACATACCAGCAACAGTGTGTGCCAACCTTGTGAAGACTTACAGGAAACGTTTGTTATATATCCTTTGCTTGCAATGACAGAGGTCAAAGTATTGAGATGAACTTTTGATATTGACCAAATACTTATTTTCCACCAGAATGTGCAAATAAATTCTTTCCAAATCAGCCAATGTGATTTTCTGGATTTTTTTTTTCTCATTTTGAAATGAAACTATCAAGATGTGCTTTAACTGCAGACTGTCAGCTTTAATTTGAGGGTATTTACATCCAAATCAGGTGAACGGTGTAGGAATTACAACAGTTTGCATATGTGCCTCCCACTTGTTAAGGGACCAAAAGTAATGGGACAGAATAATAATCACAAATCAAACTTTCACTTTTTAATACTCGGTTGCAAATCTTTTGCAGTCAATTACAGCCTGAAGTCTGGAACATATAGACATCACCAGACGCTGGGTTTCATCCCTGGTGATGCTCTGCCAGGCCTCTACTGCAACTGTCTTCAGTTCCTGCTTGTTCTTGGGGCATTTTCCCTTTAGTTTTGTTTTCAGCAAGTGAAATGCATGCTCAATCGGATTCAGGTCAGGTGATTGACTTGGCCATTGCATAATATTCCACTTCTTTCCCTTAAACTCTTTGGTTGCTTTTGCAGTATGCTTTGGGTCATTGTCCATCTGCACTGTGAAGCGGCGTCCAATGAGTTCTGAAGCATTTGGTTGAATATGAGCAGATAATATTCCCGAAACACTTCACAATTCATCCTGCTGCTTTTGTCAGCAGTCACATCATCAATAAATACAAGAGATCCAGTTCCATTGGCAGCCATACATGCCCACGCCATGACACTACCACCACCATGCTTCACTGATGAGGTGGTATGCTTAGGATCATGAGCAGTTCCTTTCCTTCTCCATACTCTTCTCTTCCCATCACTCTGGTACAAGTTGATCTTGGTCTCATCTGTCCATAGGATGTTGTTGCAGAACTGTGAAGGCTTTTTTAGATGTCGTTTGGCAAACTCTAATCTGGCCTTCCTGTTTTTGAGGCTCACCAATGGTTTACATCTTGTGGTGAACCCTCTGTATTCACTCTGGTGGAGTCTTCTCTTGATTGTTGACTTTGACACACATACACCTACCTCCTGGAGAGTGTTCTTGATCTGGCCAACTGTTGTGAAGGGTGTTTTCTTCACCAGGGAAAGAATTCTTCGGTCATCCACCACAGTTGTTTTCCGTGGTTTTCCGGGTCTTTTGGTGTTGCTGAGCTCACCGGTGCGTTCCTTCTTTTTAAGAATGTTCCAAACAGTTGTTTTGGCCACACCTAATGTTTTTGCTATCTCTCTGATGGGTTTGTTTTGTTTTTTCAGCCTAATGATGGCTTGCTTCACTGATAGTTGACAGCTCTTTGGATCTCGAAAGTTGACAGCAACAGATTCCAAATGCAAATAGCACACTTGAAATGAACTCTGGACCTTTTACCTGCTCATTGGAATTGGGATAATGAGGGAATAACACACACCTGGCCATGGAACAGCTGAGAAGCCAATTGTCCCATTACTTTTGGTCCCTTAACAAGTGGGAGGCACATATGCAAACTGTTGTAATTCCTACACCGTTCACCTGATTTGGATGTAAATACCCTCAAATTAAAGCTGACAGTCTGCAGTTAAAGCACATCGTGTTTGTTTCATTTCAAATCCATTGTGGTGGTATATAGAGCCAAAAATGTTAGAATTGTGTTGATGTCCCAATATTTATGGACCTGACTGTATATATTCACTTTTTTAAGGTTCTAAGAGAGGTCTGGCCAGCTTTAAAGTGTTACTAAACCCACAACAGTAACATCAGTCTGTATTTGCTGTAAATCATTCTTGTTCTAGTCACTGTGGAACCTAAGGGGTTAATCCTCTGCATTGTTTCAGGCTGTTTTGATCCTGTCTTCTCTGATCCTCCCCTTCTTCCAGTCCCTAATCCATCTGCTGATAGAACAAAACAATAGGAAGCACTCTAGCAATACACTCCAAACTGAGCATATGCAGAGAGATTTTTTGGGGGGAGGTTGCATGTGATCAGCACAGGGCTAATCATCACTGTCCAGACAGGGGTCAGGGGTCATGCAGCCTCATAGGACAGTCAGAAGAGAGTGAAAACTTGTACATGTTCTGTGTACTGTGGAAGACTGCATACAGCGAAGGATATAAGTATTTGACCCCCTGCTGATTTTGAATGTTTGCCCACTCACAAAGAAATGATCAGTCTAAAAATCGCATGGTAGGTGTATTGTAACACTGAGAGACAGAATAGCAACAAAAAATTTAAAAGAAATGCATGTCTAACAAATTATGCACTGATTTGCATGTTCATGAGGGAAATAAGTATTTGATCCCCTTCACAAAACATGACTTTGTACTTGGTGGCAAATTCCTTGTTGGCAATCACAGAGGTCAGATGTTTCCTGGAGTTGGCCACCAGGTTTGCACACATCTCAGGAGGGATTTTGGCCCACTCCTCTTGGCAGATCCTCTGCAAGTCATTAAGGTTTGGTGGCTGACATTTGGCAACTCGAACTTTCAGCTCCCTCCACAGATTTTCAATTGGATTAAGGTCTGGAGACTGGCTAGACCACTCCAGGACCTTAATGTGCTTCTTCTTGAGCCACTCCTTTGCCTTGGCTGTGTGTTTTGGGTCATTGTCATGCTGGAACACCCATCCACGACCCATTTTCAATGCCCTGGCTGAGGGAAGAAGGTTCTCACCCAAGATTTGATGGTAAATTGCCCTGTCCATTGTCCCTTTTGATGCGGTGCAGTTGTCCTGTCCCCTTAGCAGAAAAACACCCCCAAAGCATAATGTTTCCACCACGTTTGACAGTTGGGATGGTGTTCTTGGGGTCATAGGCAGCAATTCCTCCTCCTCCATACATGGCGAGTTGAGTTGATGCCAAAGAGCTCGATTTTGTTCTCATCTGACCACAACACTTTCAACCAGTCGTCCTCTGCATCATTCAGATGTTCAGTGGCAAACTTTAGACGTTCTGGACATGTGCTTTTTTGAGCAGAGGGACCTTGCAGGCATTGCAGGATTTCAATCCTTGTCAGTGTAGTGTGTTACCAATTGTTTCCTTGGTGACTGGTCCCAGCTGCCTGGAGATCATTGACAAGATCCTCACGTGTAGTTCTGGGATGATTCCTCACTGTTCTCATGATCATTGAAACTCCACGAGGTGAGATCTTGCATGGTGCACCAGATCTAGGAAGACAGTTGTTTTGTGTTTCTTCCATTTGCGAATGATTGCACCAACTGTTGTCACCTTCTCACCAAGCTGCTTGGCGATAGTTTGGTTGCCCAGTCCAGCCTTGTGTAGGTCTACAATCTTGTCCCTGACATCCTTGGACAGCTCTTTGGTCTTTGCCATGGTGGAGAGTTTTGGAATCTGATTGTTTGATTGCTCCCGTGGACAGGTGTCTTTTATGCAGGTAACAAAATGAGATTAGCAGCACTCCCTTTAAGAGACTGCTTCTAATCTCAGCTTGTTACCTGTATGAAAGACACCTGGAAGCCAGAAATCCTGCTGAATGATAGGGGATCAAATACTTCTTTCCCTCATGAACATGCAAATCCGTGCATAATTTGTTAGACATGCATTTCTTTTGAATTTTTTGTTGCTATTCTGTCTGTGTTACAATACACCTACCATTCGATTTTCAGACTGATCATTTCTTTGTGAGTGGGCAAACATTCAAAATCAGCAGGGGATCAAATACTTATTTTCTTCACTGTATAGCGAATGCAGGATCATGGGTTTAGTAACACTTTAAAGCCCTGCAGTCATAAAATAAAAAAAACTGCGACTGCCCTCCCCAGCTGATAAAGTATTTGTTTGTTTTGTTGGGTTTTTTTTTTTTCCCAAGAGGATGATCCAAGATAGAGTAAAACTTACCATCATCCAAGATTTGGCAGCCTTCCTCCCCACAGATCCTGCATTGTGTGTGGTGACACAATGGTGCTCACTCACATTTGAGAGAGACCAGAGTAGGTTTTACTTTGTGAGATCATTACCTTGACAAAAGAATTTGAACTACTTCAGAACCTTTATGATTCATTAACTGTCCAGACTTCAGAAATTATTTGATATCTAGAGAGAATTGTGAGGGTGGTCTGAAAACTAAACGATACTTATCCATATGACTCAGTTTGATGGATGACCTCATAGTTCTACATGCACTACTTGTCATTTTATCTTTTTTATATATTTATTACACATGCTGTATGTGGTCTAGTGCTCCCCTGGGCAAACCCAACTCTTGCATATATCACTGTACCTCTTAGGGGGTATGGGGTAACAGTTTAGGTGATTGCTAAACAGGTGAGAATTATTCACTCTTTACACTCCTCAAAATTATCCTCTATAGCTCTGGTTTTGAAACATTTGGGGATAAAGACTCTTCAGCAGCTGACACACTTCTTGGTATGTTGAATGCCTGGTCTCCTGCTGTCCAGGGTGCTTCCATCCAGCAGACACAGTAGTGACATTGGGGTCAAAGGATATAACCACAGCACCTAGCGGTGCCCAAAGTATGTTCTATATTCTAGATGTGACCTTTTTTTTTTTTTTTTTTTTTTTTTTTTTTTTTTTTTTTTTTTTCCCCCCCCCCCAACAGGTTGAACAAAAAAATCTGTACCAAATTTCTCCATCTGCACACTTGAGGTGGATGAAGGAATCCTCCTTGCTGTGTCTTTATTCTAACAGCAGGGAAGATTCCCCACTGTCTGAATATAGACTGCTCCAGTCAGGAATACATTGCTCCAGGGGGAGTAAGTGTTACAGCCTTTTCATCTACTCCTAAACTTAAGAAGCATTTAACCATTGCAGTGCGGGGCCCCACTGCAAGGGTAGATTGTCTGATTTCTGGAGTTGGCCTTCAAAGGCAAATCCGAGTCCCAACTACAGTTTCCTGGGCTATTCCTTGGTAAAACAAGTTCTTTATGCTGTAACTACAGTATTTATGCACGCACTAAGTATAAATTCTTATATTGTAGAAGTTGCATTATAATTATTGTATTGTAAGAATCTAACATGGAATCTGGCTTGGCTCAGTATAGCTACTGGCTTTCTGCACTTTTTTGTACTTTCTATGGACTTGAACCTGTCAGTAAGTTAAAGTACTGATGCATATGCATTTTGGTGCTTTCTCCACCTGGTTGTCCCAAATCTGTAATATTCACACTTTACACTTCTTGAGCTGGCCCCTCCCTTCTTGGGTCTTTCTATTAGCCCATCGCTGTTGACGTACTGGCCTACAGAATGGTGCAGGACTGGGGAGGTTGGAGATCAGCCCTTGATACTATTAGGAAGTGTCATTATTTACATATTCCATCATCCCCAAATTAGAAAATTCCCATAGAGGTATATACAGTACAAGGACTGATAGATACTCTTAGTTTTGCAATCACCTTCATAATGGAAACTTCTCCTGAGAGATACAGAGGTTGCCAGTGCTACTTACTATATAAATGCTAGTTTCCTGCCTGTCATTTTGCTTCATTACTTTGTTCCTGGAACAGGCATGCAAATAAGAATGTCTTGATCCAGGTCAGTGACTCAAACGTTACTGAACCCAGCTGGCCAGGGCATTAGCCATTCATTTGATAAAATGCAGAATACAGTACTGAATGTATCAGAACATGATGCATGAGCACAACATGTCTAACCTGCAAGTTGCACTACAATGACTGGCAAGTGCTCCCCAAAAGTTTTTTTTTTTTGTATAATAATTATCATATTTGAAGCCAGATAAATTACTAACAAACGCTCTACTTTCAGACAACAGACATGTGCTTTCATCAGGAGAAGATGGCTGCCTAAAAGTCACTGATGTTCAAACTGGAATGCTCATCTCCTCTCTACCATCAGGAGAAGTTCAAAGGTAAAGCACCCCTATTAAGAGGAATGCTATTCCTTATTATATTTAGAAACAATTGTATTATATATTGTATTATAACAATTCTATTATGGCAACATTCCACTGTGCTTTTTGGACACCAAGCAGGTAAATAGTTTATTTGCCATAGTTTTATCAGGTTTTAGGCCCCTTTTTACACGGCGCTGACTCCACTTGCTCAGCAAGGGATCTGTCCGCTGAGCCCCCACTGAACAGGTGGGTGACAGGTCTGCTTATGCAGAGCGGACAAGGACACAGCCTGCTCTCCTCTATGGGCAGTCAGATGTAAACTGATTAAAGCTACTCCCATGTACATAGTCAAATTCCTTGATTAGTAAACTAGTTAGGAGTCAGTTGAAGGTATATTTACAAGATATTTGAGAAACCGTTTACCTTTGCTAATTACTTACTTTAATATAGGGTTCACAGGGAATCAATGATGCTGATTATATCTACTCTTGACTGTCTATAGAGTCTGCACCATTTTCTCTGGCCACACTGGAGTTTCACATTAGAGCAATCTTAAATCTTTCACTCAGTTTGTATATAGATGGTGATATTGAGCCGCAAAGTGTGTGCTGCCGGTGAACATCCTACAGAATTCTGTATTACCCTGTTGTCATACTTTGTAATCTGCCATATTTAGATTTAGCAAACGTGTAAAGATTAAGTGGAGTCCCTCTAAAATGAAAGCTATTTTCACATATTCTGGTTTACAATTTTTCAGGTGTTTTCACTGGAATGGCCACACTGTTCTGTCAGGAAATGACAGCGGTGAACTGCTTGTCTGGGATCTTGTAGGAGGACGGATTCTTGAAAGAATAGCTGGGCATGCAGGTACGTTATCTCTTTGACGTAGTACTCAGTAATATTGGTATAGTATTGGAGGGGACACTGGGCAAGATAGGATAGTGTTATATAGTGACTGCTGCTAAATTACCTAAACTTTGTCTTGTATTGAAAGTTGACTACATGGTCTGTACATATTTATGCAGTCAAGAACCCAGATAGCTCCAGAAATGGATCTGGATGTGCCTTTAGGTCATAATTTCCTATTATATAAATGCCTTCACAGCATACTATTCCAATTTACAATTATGTAATTGTGTTAACAGGGTAGTGAAGGTGCCTCATACATTAGTATATTACTGTAGTGGTATGTACTTACCAAAGGAAGTTCTTCATATACTCTGCAATTGTGAGCAGCTTTTGGGGAAAAAAGTTTACTTCGTAGACTTTGTAAGAATGCCTGCTGTCGCTAGGATATATATATGGCTCGGAAATCTTTTATTATTGGGAACTAGTAACTTTGATTCTGGATTCATTTCTCAAGGCAGTATTTTGTCAGGCTTATCTGGGTTATAAAAATACAAACCTAAACTTGCTTCGCACAGTCCATTCTAATTGCACACTCATTTGCTCCCATGTACAAGGTCAAATTCCTTGTTATCGTGTGTCAATCAGTCATCTCTGGATACTACAAGGATATTTGTCTTTGCATTAACATGTATATATGTAAATAACCAGTGTGTGTTTGGACATTGCAAAAGTGAACAGTCCATTTGTGTTTAGTAAATCAAAATCTGCTTTTGTAAAGAAAGTTGCACTTGACATGGGATATTGCTCAAAGGCTTCATGTCAACTATGTTTCCCCTCTCATTTGGTACATTTTGAATTTGACTGATCCTCAGCCTGTTGTGGCTGTACAGTGTGTTATTTGTAAACTTCTATATAGATGCACACGTTCCAAGGACTGGACATATTTTCTAAGTCTTTTTAAGGCTAATATACTGCCTTTTTTCCAGGTATACAGTACTGTGCAAAAGTGTTAGGCAGGTGTGAAGAAATTCTGTAAAGTAAAAATGCTTTAAAAATATATCTTGTTTGTATTTTGTAAATTGATAAAAATAAAGTGAAGGAAAAGAAGAAAAATCCAAATCAAATTAAACTTTGATTTGATTACCCTTTGACTTCATACCAGCATCAATTCTTACACTTGCACAAAGTCAGGGATTGGGGATAGGCGTCAGGTGTATGAATATCCAATTATACCAAGCAGGTGCTAATGATCATTAGTTTCATATGTTGGTTGAAACACAAACTGCTTTGTAGGAGGTTTAAAACTGGGTGATCCAAACTCCGCTACTAAGGTGAGATTGTGGAAGACAGCTTCATGTCACAGGTCATACACCATGGCAAGGCTGAGCACAGCAACAAGACATGAGGTAGTTAAACTGAAATCTGCCTGGGAACGACCTTGCTGATGCAAAGCAGACTGGGGGTTTCAAGATGTTCTGTTCAAGCTCTTTTGAAGAAGCACAAAGAAATAGGCAACATTGTGGACCATAGACGATAAAAAGGAAAATAATTGCGACAAATGAAAGACCTATCGTGGTTTCTACTATTTGACATTAGAAGATGTCCAACGGTGCCATCAGCACATAACTAGTGGGACCCAGGTACACCCATCTACTGTCTGGAGAAGTCTGGCCAGAAGTGGTCTTCATGGAAGAATTATGGCTGAAAAGCCATAACTCTTCTCTATTGCAAGTGGATGTTAAGATCCTGGCCAAAATACTAGCCTCTCGACTGAATGAGGTTATTCTGTCTCCAGTCCATTCTGACCAGACAGGCTTTATGCCTGATAAAAACAGCCATTAACATCAGGCAGCAGTTCATGAACATCCAGGCAATACACGACTGGGTTGGCACCAGGGTGGTGGTGGCTTTGGATGCGGCCAAAGCATTTGATTCTGTTGAGTGGGGTTATCTATGGGAATGTTTAAAATGTTTTGAATTCGGCTCTAGATTTGTTAAATAGGTACAGCTGTTATATCAACCCCATTAACCCCAGTTTCTGCTAATGGGTGGCTTTCAGACCCCTTTCCCTGGAGCCGGGGCAGCCATTATCTCCTCTTTTATTCGACTTGGTGGCCAAACCTCTAGCCATTTCTCTTAGGTCTCATGACCAGAATTGGTAGGCTGGTAGAAACAGTGGGCATGTACACTGATGACACCATACTTTATCTAACAGACCCAGGCACTTCATTGCCCTCAGCACTGGCTATAATAGATCAATTGGGCTCTCACTCTGGTCTGTGAATAAGTTGGGACAAATAACAAATTCTTCCATTGGACCTTTTCCCGCCTACAGAAACACAGGCCAGTTTACCACTTGCTAGAGTAGCCTCAATCCGTTATTTGGGAGTGCAAATGTCTCGATCCATACAAGATTCAATTACCCTGAATATTGAACCTCTGTTCATGTTACCTAAGCAAAAAACTCCAGGCATGGGTGGGACTACCACTGGGAGTTATGGGATGGATCAATCTGGTCTAAATGATTATATTATGGAAACTGTAATATACATCTGGCACTCGCCCGTATATATGCCTCTCAACACATTCAAAACCATAGATTCCATATTGAAGTCCTTTTGTATGGGGTGCAAGTAGGCACAAATTACAGTGGTCTGTACTGAAGAACCAAGTCTCCTTAGGCGGAGCCATCCTACCAGATTTAAGCTTATACTATGTTGCTGCCCAACTATCTCATTTTCTACCATTTTGATTAGGCAGATCAGGGGAGATATCAGGCGCTGGTTTGTGGCCATCCAGCTCTCACAACTTTACAGTTTATATTTAGGGGGGCCAGGGGTCTAGGTCGTCAAGTTACTCGATTTTAGCATGTTATATCAACGCATTTGGGAGTTGGCCCTGGTAAAACTAGGCAGCCCCCTAGTCCATACACATACCCCATTATGGTTCAATCACCAATTACCTGAATTGTTGCATATTCCGGATCCTATTCTGTGGGCGTCCAACAGAATTCTCTATTTAGCTGTTTCATATCTCGGGATTAAAAACGTTTGTTGCATTGCAATCTGAATTCTCCCTAATTACATGATATTTCGCTATATACAATTGCGGCATGCTTTTCAGGCTCAGTTTTCTAACCTACCCCCTCTCATGGCTTCCTTACCCCTATTAGATATAATCATGGGCTGGGACCCTACCAAGCTGATCTCCACTATATACAATACTTTGCTAACACCAGCTGCTACAAAACAAGCCGTTTAAAGAGTTAAAAATAGATGGTTACAGGACCTGGGGATAATGCAGATGATTGGGAAGAGGTACTTGATAATTACAAACTAGTCTCCCCCACGGTTTCTGACCGCTTAGCTCAGTTATATATATTGCTTGGGGCATATTTGACCTCGGTACGTGTATCCCGTTATAAGCCTACTCGCAGCCCATTATGTTCCCTATGCATGTCTCACACGGGTACATTCTACCATCTCCTATGGTCCTGCCCTTTTGTGCAAACCTACTGGACTCCGATTGCTTTTTTCATGACCATATGGGATCCCCCTTGACACTGGACCCAAAAGTATGTTTACTGGGTCTCCTTCCAGATCCAGACATGGACAAGTCATTAATCATGTTTCTCTATGAAAAATTATTCTCGGCTCGTAAGGTCATTGCTCAGGTTTGGATGCACAACTCCTGGAAGCGTGAGGTGAACCTCACCCTCCCCTACAAGAAACATATCTACCTACATGAAGGCTGTACAGCTAAGTAGAGAAGAGCAAGGAGTCCTGGAAGTGATGGTTTGGCCCCCACAGAGCCCTGATCTCAACATCATTGAGTCTGTCTGGGATTACATGAAGAGACATAAGGATTTGAGGTATCCTACATCCACAGATCTGTGGTTATATCTCCAAGATGCTTGGAACAACCTACCTGCCGAGTTCCTTCAAAAACTGTGTGCAAGTGTACCTAGGAGAATTGATTTGAAGGCAAAGGGTAGTCACACCAAACATTGATATGATTTACATTTCTCTTTTGTTCATTTACTTTCCATTTTGTTAAATGATAAAATAAACTATGAACACTCTTGCACAGTAGTGGCGTGTTTGTTTTAATTTGTATGTACGTACGTGCGCGCACACACACTTTTATATGAATGTAAACAACTTTGTATTAATAATCTAGTGTTAAAGTGGTTGCAAAGGCTGAAGGCTTTTTCCCTTCATACATTCTATGCATAAAGGTAAAAAACCTTCTGGGTGCTGCTCCCCCACAGCCCCCCTAATACCTGAGCCCCTTTTCAATCCAGCAATGTGCAAAGGAGCCTTGTCATTCAATATGCAGGCTATGCTTTCTGCTTAGCAATACTACGAAGATTTTGCCTCAGTTTTTTTTTCCTCTCAGGCTTAAAGCAATACAAAATATTTGTGGTTTATCCTGCAGTAGATTTTTATTTGAATACTTTTTTATTATATAAAAAACTGTAATGAAAATGTTGAAACCATTACATTTAAGGCATGCCTTGAATGATAACTGTCACAGTTGCTTGTGCTCTCAAACTGTCCAGGCATCAAATGGCTGTTGTCCCAACTGATCACATGTGTTTACAGCCAAAAAGCTGTTGCTATGGTGCTAAAGAATAGGAGGCTTAGTTGTTCTGCCTTATTTCCCTTCATGATTTTTTTCTTTTTTGTCTTCAGATGCTGTTACATGTATGTGGATGAATGAGTCGTGCAACACAGTCATCACAGGATCTGCAGACAGACAGATTTTATTCTGGAAACTGCAATACTAAGTTTTTATTTACTTCTTTCGCCTGCTGAAAACTTGAAGATTTTAAGATTAGTTTTATGTACAATGTTGTGTGAGTGTACAGTAATACCACATAGCGGACCGTGCCTTGACAATTCCAGCCCTTTTACCTTGTCCCTTTTTTCATATCTGTTTTGTGGTTTGTATCGTGTGAATGCCTTTTATCTCTGACCTTGCACTATGTATTTTACATGAACAACGTGGCCTATGCCATGGGTGAAGGAAGTCTCCTAATAGCTCATGCTGGTGGATAAGGAGTGATAAAACAAAAGGTGTTATTTTCCTGGAAGTGTAATATTTACATACATTATTGGGCAGCAAGTCACTGTGCCTCCTGCCAGACTCACACTGTCACAAACCATTCCATGAAATAAGTGTTTTCTGTTGTTAATGCCTTCATAAAACTGAAATCTAATCATGGCCATTCAGATTTTAGAAAATTACAACTAGTTTTAATCACAAGACCAACGATAGGAAGACAATCAGTCAAAGTTTTGCAAACCGTTTTGATAGAAATTGGTGGTGGTAGATTGCCCTTAGCCCTTGAGATTGAATTCTGGTTGGAAGTGGATGATTTAGTCTAGCGAGAGTAGAGATTTAGACACTTTTTATAAGATTATAGTTAAAGCTGTATTTCACATCCAAGTCATTGTAGCAACTTGGATCTCAGGGGCCCTTTTACTCTTGTCTGTTTTAATGCAGCAAAACTCAGGCATTTTGCTGCATGAAAATGTATTTTAAGTAGAAATCCAATTTTTTCCTTTGTGGCTGGTTCACATCAAAGTGCTGCTGTTTTAGTGAATTTTAAAAGGGAAAATAAATGGGCTCATTCATACTTATGTATATTTCACTTACACAGTTCAGTATTAATCTGGTCTATTATAATATTTGGTGTTAAAAATCAGCTTTATGCAGTAGATAAAAGCAATCACTGAACTCCTGGTCTCCGGGAAACATTTCAGCTGTGCTAAAGTCATAAATCCCACTCATTCTACCTTTTTCACCAAATACCAACTTGGAGATATGCTTTGTAAGCATCAGGCAGCTGATAGGGCTTTTAGGTGGATTTGTTTTTGCAGTTTTGCTATCAGGTTATGCTGAATGCCAGCAAGAAGGGGTAGGATTCACAGGTCCATGGGTGGAAGGCTTTTTGGAGGGGAGTGCAGAAAAAGCTGCTTGGAGAAGGATGGTAGCCATGAGTGACATCACTATTTGCCACTTTGAGCCCCATAGCACATTTGACAGGATTGGCACAAATAAAGCAGACTGTTTCTAAAAGAAACCCTGATAATAACCTAATCTAATCTTGCAGCATCTGAAAATAAAATGTTGTTTAAGAGTCACTTGTCTTGTAGACAGTTGTGTGATTCTGAATTGAATATACTTATGCTTTAAGGCTTTGCAAGCAGACAGATTTATCTATGGACAAAATGTAAAATTATATATTCATTTATACCTTTTATTTCAATTATTTCTAGCCTACCCTTATTCATCTGAACAATCTTGAAGTTTACCTCCTTGCATTTTGTAAAATGTATTCACTTTTCCATGGGAGTAGTCACTGTTGTGTCTAGTTCTGAAGGCAGGCTCTGTGAAATGTAGTAGAGAGGTGCTGAGAGGAGGAGTTTCAGGAGTTGGGTTCAGCAACGGAATCACTGCTTGCAGGCAGCAAGTTACCATGGTACCATGGGATATGTAAACCTTAGAAATTGAAAGTAGACAGCAGAGGAGAAGCTGCAAAGCATGCTTGAGATCAGGGAACTTGGGGAAGAGATGGCCGGCAGACAGGCAGCACTCACAAAATTTTTTTATTTTACGTATTGATGGATTGATAGCAATTCAAACAATAGTTCTTTTTATTACAATGCTGATGATAAAAATTAAAGGGTGTGCTGTGACCACAGAATTCCTTTAAGAAAAGTTTCATTGGGGGTGGGGGGTAGTGCAAAGCATTAAACCACCTTGTGAGGTGCTTTTAAATTTCAAATTGACAAACATTAGGCCTGTGACAGATGTCTGTAATTTTTGTCTTTTTTTTTTTTTTTTGGTAGAGTCCAGAAATTCTTAGAAGCTATTGATACTTTTACACTGATCTTTATTTTGTACCTTTGTAATGCAGTTAGCTGCAAAATTGTTCCTCCATTTCTGCCAATTTACAGTAAGCTCCCTTTCACATGGGCACTTTCCAGTAGCAAGACCAGGCAATGGCCACCGGCCAGCCCCACACATTGCTGCATGGTATGCCAAGTGATATGCCTGCTACTGTGCCGCCTAGAGGTGAATGGAGCCAATGCATGTGGTTACAGTGTACTGAAGGGATTGTGTTGTGAATAAAATGAATTTTTTTTAAAATCTCCTCTTCCAGCTATTTTCCTCAGATGTAATGTTAAATGGACACATATTCCACTTCACATAATGTTCTAAATTGTGATCATTACTATATTACTGGAGCAGTATTCTATACACAAATGAGAAACTGTACAATATAATCATATATGGCTTTTAAAGTGGTTCTAAAGCCAAAACCTTTTTTTTGTCAATATGCAGGGAATGCATTTAAAGGTAAACAATGTTTTTTTGCAGCTTCTATCGATACAGCACTGTGCACAGCTTCATCTCTACTCTCCAACTCCTTTACACAGGGATTCTGACAGCAACAGAAGCCAATGGCTCCTGCTGCTGTCAATCAAATGCTGAGAGGAGGAGACAGACACAAGCAGTGTGGCTTGTCCCAATGGTGTGCTGCTCCATAGACGCACACAGCGAAGAAGAGGAGCAAAGACTGCCAGCAGAGACCCTCAAAAAAGGAGGTTCTGTGCAATACCATTTCACTGAGTAAGTATTCTTCTTTTAATTTTAAAAAAATATTGCCTTTACTATCAATTCAAGGAAGAATTCCAGGTATGAAACATAGATACATTGCTCCAGCTTGGACAGATGTTACTATGCATATGAAATCCCTCTAGAAGGTGAAAATTATAGTAGACACTGCTATTTCAGTGCTCTCCACTAGCCACCAGGGGATGCATTGAACATTGCCCTACTGTATCATAAATACTAAGCATGGACGCCAGTCAGAGAATGGTCTATATTTTCTCAAAGAATGCTTTGCATTCACTGATTAGTTGATTGGATTGGGCTGTGATGTCATACTGAACGTCATCCAAGCAGAGAATGTTTTTCATTTATTGAGAAATTGCAAAGCAATCTCTTTACAATGCCTGTGCCAAGCCAGCAGCCTCCCCCATTTACAATGCAGCAGGGCATCTGTTTAGGAACCAGAAGCTAGTGCAGATCACTGTAGTAGTGGTGTAGAGATTCTGAGTAATCTCACAAGCATAATTACATTGGTCCAATGTAATGAACTATATAAAAATATACCTGGAATTCTTAAGTGTTTTATCCTGCTGGCTGTCAATCGTGATTAAATGTGGCCTGTAGAATCTTTTTTTAACCTGAAATTAATTCTTAGAACAGTATTGGCCAATTGAATAACACACTTAAAACAGGACAGGGGGGACCTTCCAAGAGCAACAGTATTTTGGCAGAAAAAAACCCAAAAAACAAAACTTGATGTGTGCAAACATGAGTTAATGCTAGGCGCTTGAGCTTTAATTCATTTCAGTGGGCAGAATACATTTATTTAGTTTAAATATGACACTGTAGTCTAATAGGCAGCAGAGGTCGATCAAACTTTGTAGTCTAATAGAGGAGGTCAGTCATAGAGGAGGTCAGTCATACAAGTGTGCATGTAGATGCTTATGATGAGCAGTGTGGTTGGTACTCCTCTATGGCAGCATACTGATGGTGTAAAGGTGTTTGAAAAACAGTAAACAAATTAACATTCTGTTGGCAATTGCCTTCTTTTCAAAACATTGATATTAAATTAAAAAAAAAAAACGTGTTTTGGCAGTAGATATTATAATGGATGTTCTAGCAAACCACTGTCAAAAACTTTTTTTTTTCCTAAACTGCTGTTAAGCCCGGTGTACTGCTTTGCCCTTGGTATTACTTTTAATCTATTAAAATTGAAATCTAATACTATGGAAAAAAAGTGCACACTCTCTGATCCATTCAGATGAATGAAACTGGTCATATACTTGGTTAAAACCACACAGCCTTGCCACCATTTCACCAAAGCTCTCTCACAGAATGACATGTTGCAAAATATCAAAGGGCCAGTTCCTGCAAATCTCTGATCATACTTGCACCAGTGCCTCTCTGTGCTTTCAGAGATCGAATTAGATCTCTGCAACACAGAGCCTAAAATTAAGCAGGGTGCAGTTCAAAGAAAATCGACAAATGAGAAGACTGGTGCAGAGGTATATTTTGCCACATGAAGCACATAGGTGAGGTATTAACCTCCATAAAAAGACAAGCCCATGTATCACAGTGGGTTTAGAAGAAAATACTTTCATGTTCAGGCAGTCACTGAAACAGTACTTTTGCCTCAGTGCACCTTGCAGGAGAGTTGTTAGGGGAAAGTCAAAATGAAAGCTGAATCATATGTATACACAAGAGGTGGCCAGTTATAGCTGCCTATTTACCGGTCAAATATGATTTCTGATGGGTCCACATTAAATTACAGATGCTCTGACTGGTCCAGAAAGCATCAATGTGCCGCATTCCTCTGTTAGTATTTCCCAACTGTTCAAGTGCCACCAGCAGTGTGTTTTGAGGATAACTCCACATACTCCCTACTAGAGTACCAGGTTCACTTCTGATGAATTGTGGCAATCCCCATGGGCAACTAACCTTCATGTACCATTGATGAGACTTGTAGAGAGCTTAAGGAAACCCTGGTACATGTATATATTATGATGCAATTTGCAATATTTCAAGCTCTTGTAGAGCAAATTATGTATCCAATATCAACTCAATAAAGAAATGAACTAAAGATATTTTAAAATTGATTTCTGTATTTTGTTTTTAAGCTCAAAGTTTGTTCATGTATACATTTAAACAGAAAAGCTTGAAGAAAAA